GGTTTTCCCGGGGTGAGGCTCATCCGTTGCACTTGGGATGTGCTGACCCCTGCGATTTCCCCAAATCTGGGAAACTCGGCTGCATAATTTGTGGTAGTGGGGGACTGTGTTCACGCTCTCCCCTTAAAAAATTAAAAATATAAAAAATAAATAATATGAAAAAAGACTCCTTTTTTAACACAAAAATATAAAGGTGCTTAAGCCAGCTTGGTCAAAATACCTATGATGAAAAATCTATGCATGGATATCAGAAATTTTTACACTAAAATAAAAATTTTAATTCCATTTTTATGGACTTTTTCTAAGGTATTCTCATGAATCAGGAGAAGAGATTGAAACAAAACATGTTTTTATGCATGCCGATTTCACTTTGAAATGTTCTCGTAGCTTTGCCGCTTGGGAATCCCCACGTACTCTTCCCACGCAGCTCATGCTGCACTTCTCCTATGCAGCTCTCCTCTCTCATCCCTTAGATCCTCAACCCTTGATCCTACGGGAAATATGCAGTGCAAGGGACCTGCCATTTTCTGGTCATGTGTTTGTCAATGCATAAATAGATAATTTGTTTTATGCAAATTTCATTGAAAAAGAACCTGAGTTAAAATACATTATTGCTTTATTAACATCGGGCTCAAGGTCAACTGCCTGTTCATACATGTCTGACTTATGCTAATATCTAGCACATTTTTTCTCTAAGATACATGATTATCTTGCACTTAGTTACGCTAGACAACGATACAAGACTATATTCAGTGGCCATTTGAAAGAATAAAATTACCAAGAAAAAAAAGAGCTAAAATTTACAAAATAATGTAGCATTAAACACACTGCAAAAATACCACTTGTTTACAGAATGAGCTCTGAGGTCATGTGACCTCAGCTGGAAAAGTGTGTGTAGTGTGGGGTGACACAGCATTTTCGCTGCTTGTCACATGAACATATCACGAATGATGGCAAAAAAAAAAGCCCCAGTCTTTGAGTTTAGTAAATCTTAGCAAATAGGCAAGTTTATAAGTGTAGAATTACTAAAGATGAATGGGGTTTGCTTTACTGTTGAGCCTGAGAGCATCTCATAGCAAGCACTGGCATCTACACCAGGCGTTTCTCTTTGATCCCCTCAGGTTCACTCCAGTCATCTGTCTCCCCTTGCTCTGCCCTTGGTACTGACTACTATGGACTGCCCTCCCAAGTCCCCTTGTCCTCTGGCTTCTGGTTGGATTAGATCGATCAATAAGTGATGGCTGGCTGACGGAGGATGGGAGAAAGGTAAGGCCAAGTGTTTGTACCCCTTCCCATCCTCTTCCAGAGATGCTGCCTTGGGCACCCTCTGGCCTTTACTCAAGGCCCTCTGCCCTCAAGCCAACAGGCCCCAGAGGACTCCTTCCGCTTGCAAATAACTATGTGCTCTGCTCACCTCTTTGCATCCAGTGGTGGTGACTACTCATCAAAGTCCATTTGGGCTGTTACAACAAAATGTCTTAGTCTGAGTCACTTATAAGCAACAGAAATCCACATCTCATCATTCTGGAGGCTGGGATCTCTAGGATGAAGGTGCTGGCAGATTTTGTGTCTGAGGAATTCTGTGCTCCATAGCTGGTGCAGAGTGACTGTATGCTGCATCTGCTCCACACTCCCTCCCCAGGCGGCAGGTGCAAAGGCAAACAGAGGCTGACACTCCTCTACCCTAGCACCACCAACCCAGCCTCAGGGCACTGATTCTTATTCTTGAGGGTGGAGCTCTAGGAGCTCATGGCCTTCTAAAAGCCCTGCCTCTGAATACTGTTGCTATGGGGATTAAGTTTCACCAAGAATGTGCAGAAGGTACAATATTCTAACCATAGCACAGCTCTTGTTATTTTCCTCTGTACCACTCAAAAGCTTCTCCTAAACTCAACACACATTGGGTTTATGGTCTTATAAACATTGTAAACAGTCCCATGGTAAATAAGCTGTCCTTGAATTGTCCTGCTTTGAGCATGCTGTGTTTGGCTGCTAACTGATAAGATATGGCATTCATATTTTTTGGCAATAAATGCCTTGGGTACATTTCCAGCATCTCCAATGAAGTCACTCAAATTAAAATATATTCTAACACAAACATGTGCTTCCTGTGCAAACAGAGCTTTCCTTACTGATCCATTCGTTCTGATCGGGCCACCTTCTGGAGTTCTGCTAACTAGGGAGCCCCCAGTTCCCTCTGCAGTATTACATCGCACCTGCTACATCTCACCCGCTGCCCATCTTGCTGAACAGGGTATGTTCAGTTTCCAGACGGTGGGCTGGTGTTTTGGGAGACTCCAAGGAGGGTGGGGTCTGCAGCAGAATCACCTGAGAAATGGGAAGCTTTCCTTTTGGATTGGCCAGTAGGAGTCAAGGCCAGAAGTGGCTTCAAGACAGGACAGGGTGCATGCCACAGGCTTTCCTCCCAGACCTAGTGATCCCGGTGTCTGAACTGGCCGCTGTGATGCACATGGCATTTGCCGAACTGAAAGACAGAGTGCTCAACACAAAAACTCCAATAACCCAGATTTTACTCTGCTAGAATCCTAAGGGGAAGGACAAGAGCTATTTATTGCTGTCCAGCAGTGACAGAACAAGTCTGAATCGCAACTTCCATGTGTCACCCACACAGCAGATGACAGTGAGTAGGAACAATAATCTGCAACTGCCAACAAGGGGAAAACCATCTCCATGTTGGTTTCCTCTCCACCAGCCTTGCCTTTCTCAGATCTCTTCAGAATGCTGCTGCCAGAATACATTTTTTTTTTAAATGCTCAATGGCATCTTTTCACCTAAACAGAATACAGTTCCAACTCCTTTGGCTCTTAAAATATCGCGCTTGCCTAGACTTCCTGCCAGTTTCTACTTGCCTACCTCTTCCATCATCCTCATCCTTGCCAAAACCATGTGTGTGTGCACACGCCTGCACACACACACACGCACACACACACGTACATTTACGCTGCAGTAATAGTGAGCTGACAATAGCTTCCCCATTCTGTTCTTTCTACCTGGAAACATTTCTCTGATTTCCCTCTACTTTCCTGCCTAAAACGAAACTATAATTCATCTTCAAAACTGACTCAGACATCATAGTCCCTCTCACAGTGCTGTACAACCTTTCATGTGCAAGCGGTTACCTGTGGGTCCTGTTAGAAATGCAGATCCTTGTTCAGCGGGTGAGGGTGCAGCCTGGGATGTCGTCACGGGTTGGTGTTGCTGCTGGCAGTGGTTCATGGGCCACACTTTGGGAAACAAGGCTCTTTGAGATTTTCCTCGATGGATTCCGGCACTTTTTCCCGAGCTCTCTGCTTTGACTGTGTTTTTGTTGTTGCCACATGGCAATTTTTATTATTTATTATCTCTATCCACTAGATTTGGAGTTGCTTAAAGACTACTCCTTTTCTTTCTTTCTTTGTCTTTTTTTCCTACAAAGTTTTATCAGCTGTCCGGGGTATGATTCTTAAGAAATGTGATATTTACTTTTTGAATGATGCCTTTACTAACCTGTGGAACAAGAAGCCATTTTCATTTCAGGGAGAGTTTTGAGACGTTGAGGTTTAGATAACCACGAATGCCAGGCTGTGCATATTGTATTTATTAAACGATTCAGCTTTATTTGCTGCATGCAACTTTAATTCTGGGTGCTCTACAAAGGGTTAAGAGATATTTGCAACATTTTTATTCTGAACGCTCGCAGTGTCTGTGCACTAATAAATATTCCTCTGACCCAAATATAAATACAAAGCCTCCAAAGTACAAAATGCAAACTCCACAAACTGTGACCTGAAACTTGTATTAAGAAATGCTCTGTGAACACAGGGCACCATTCTGAAAATGGGAGGGAAAGGAATCAAGCAAAACAGCTCATGCGGTGGGGCAGGACATCAGAAGGTGGGTGAGCCACGTTGTTTAGATAAAGCCCTCAAAAATCTGGGCTTAAAAAAAGAAAAAAGATTACAGAGGGGGATTCTGTAAACCAGACCACAGGGATCCGTCAAGCTCTTGCTTCTAGGCCAAATGTTCCAGAAAGCATCCATAATTAAAGATTCCGAAAGAGAATGTACAAAATTCTAAGAAGTAGACAGGGATGGTTTGGGGTATGTTGAGTGAGATCATCTTCTGAAAGACACAGAGTCATCTCGAGCCTTCCTGCTTCACAGTAATTATAGATGAAAGTGAGGCATCTGAATCTCAAGCCAGTGAAAATATCACGTGACTTAGGAAGAGCCGATTGCAACATCACCCGGTAATTTCTCCAAGAGCTTATCTGAACACTGTAGGATAATTAAGTCTCTCTCCCATCAAGCACTGCTTCCCCCTCCCCTGTCAGCATCCAAGGAGACTACAGCTCACTTTGGGGCTGACAATTAAAGAAAGCCTTTATGCGGCTGCAGGAGAACCTTTCAAAGCTGCTTTGAAGCTCATCGGTTAGTACCTTCCTGGAGCGGGACTCTACTGGGTTGGGAGAATTACAGGGTTAATTAACTTAGTAACTCCAACGTCACTAGCTGGGAACAAGGTGCAAAAACAAATGAAGAAAAAAAAAGAGATTTACTGCGAGCGGGAGGGCCATACTGCCAACCACAGTGGGCCAGGCAGAGAACACTACTTATGGGTGGTGCTACACTGATGGGTACTTTATGGGCATTCTGCCTCTCCCCTCTGCTTTTTTTTTTATATAAAGGATTTGTTTGTTTTATTTGAAAGGCAGATATATGGAGAAGAGGAGACAGATCTTTCATCTGCTGGCTGCAATGATCAGAGCTGAGCGGATCTGAAACCAGGAGCTTTTTCATGGTCTTCTACACAGATGCAGGGTCCCAAGGTCATTTTCTGCTTTCCCAGAGCATAAACAAGGAGCTGGATCAGAAGTGGTACAGCTGGGACACAAACCGATTCCATATGGGATGCTGCAGACACAGGATTAGCCAGTTAAGCCATGGTGCCGGCCCCTCCTCTCTGCTTTATCCATCTCCTCTGCAATCTCTTTTGTTCTCCAGTAGGAGGCGGTATTGAACAGGAATAAAGAACTTGGTACTGGAGCCAAAATGTGAATCTGGGCTCCTAGGCTTCTTATTTCTGTCACTTTAGGCCAGTGTTCTGACTTTTTAAAGCCTCAATTTTCTTATCTGTGAAATGGGTTGTTGTGAATTCATGGTGAACAGGGATTCTACAGGAACTTGTAGCTTAGTAGGCAATCACTCGAGCTACACATAGGTATTCAAGCTACAGGATCCATCCTTATACAACTTGGAAGATCCACAGTCAGTACGCATGACTCAGTTTCCATCCATAAGACTTGAGAGAAGAGACTCCAATTCCTCTTCCAGAATATTGGGAACCTTGAAGTCTCAAGCTGAAACAGGCTCTGATCACTCTGTAAGGCCAGGCTGACCAGCACAGCGCCCCCTTACACTGATGCAGGCTGAGGAGTGTAGACAAGGGCCGATTCCCAGAGGCAGGAAAACGGTGGGCCAGGTCCTCAGCCAGGGTCAGTATAGACATAATTAGGTCTTAAGCATCCTGGGCAGAAGAGGTCTGGCCTAGAAGACAAACATTGGTGGAACAGGACCTTTTGCATGGCACCAGTTGGTGATGCCACTAATGAGCTGATGTATTCTCATTCCTGCCCACAGGTCAGATGCCCAATGCTCCAATCACGGGTCTGAGTCATTTATCCCAATCGAGCCAGTGCAGCTCACCACACACTCTCCCTCAGACAGTGAGGTGGCCATTTTCCTTTAGAAGCTCATAATGCTGCTTCTCAAAATAGCTGGTTTCTGCCGTGAGCGGCTGCTTCATCATCCTCTGTGGCAGCGGATTGGCTGGCAGTGCTAGAGCAGCCCAGCTGGCTTTTTCTGCCCTTGATCAACTCACCAGTTCTCCTAGGAAAAAGAGTGATGCTCCTTGTTCCCCTTAACCCACACCTCAGGGAACAGATGTGGGATCAAATACAAGTCCCTCTAACATCAGTTCAGTGCTTAAATAATAATACAAAGAACAATCTGGAGACTCTACCCATGCCGGTCTCCTTATTGCTAAGTGCAGGGAATGCTGCCTGAAAGCTGTCAGATGGCTTGCACGCCTCGTGAGACAAGCAGCAAGGGGCAGGGCAGAGGCATCCCTGCTGCTCTGGCCCAGCTCATGGCTCAGCGGTTGACCCTCTGGCCTGTGGGCCTGGCTGCCACTCTCTGTCTTGATGCTGAAGGAGCGGCAGCTCAGAGACAAAGCACCTGCACAGGCCTGGCTGCCTCTTCGGGTCCTGGGCTGCAGCTTGTAATGCTCCACAGAAAGACTGTTCACACACTCAGGATCTTCAGCCTTGGCCTGGCTGGAGTCTCTACTGAAGTCCTGACTCTGCGATTTCAGACAGCTGACCCCTCAGCCTCGAGAATGGTGGCCGGTCTTCTGGTCTCTGGAGGGGGGAGGAGAAAAAGAACACCGTGGGTTCCTTATACTAGGAGTTCCTTATATATATGAATTCCTTATGTATGTCACACAAAAGCAAACCAGAAGTCAATGGCAGTATCCTCTTATTTGAATGGTAGGGTTGCAGAGAGAGAGAAGACAGAGCAAGAGCAAGTGAGCGAATAGGAGAGTGAGAGAGAGAGAGTGCTCTTTCATTCACTGCTTCACTCCCCACACAGCTAAGTGTAGGAGTCCATCTAAGAAGGCTAAATTCTGTATGATTCTAACTCTATGATATTCTGGAAAAAGGCGAAACAAAGAGAACAGTGAGAATACCAGCATCTGCCAGTGGCTTCAGGATGAAAGAACGATAAATGAGTGATGCACAGAAGAATTTCAGGACAGTGAAATGATTGTGTGTCACAGTGTGGTGGCACATACTTCATCTCTACAGTTGTTATACCTTGCAGACGCTCCAGCACAGAGAGTGGCTCTGACTCAGAGTATGGCCAATACTTCCTGGCGGGGTCTCAACAGACACTGCTGATTACAACCAATGTGTCACTGCATGCAAAATGTCAATGAACAAGGAGAAGCACCTGGATGCAGGAAGTTACACGGGACTGCCCTGTACTCTTTGATCATTTTTTCTTCTGTAAATTTAAAACTTAAGAAAAGTAAAGTTGGAGGTTGGCACTGAAGTATATAGTAAGTAAAGTCTATAGTAAATAATATAGTAAGTAAAGTATATAGTAAGTAAAGTCTCCTCCTCTACCAGTATCCCATTTGGTGCCAGTTCAAGTTCCAGCCGATTAGCTCCCCTGCTAATTGGGAAAAGCAACTGAGCATGGTATAGACCTCTGCCATCCACTTGGGAGATGTGGAAGAACTTCCTGGTTCCTGTCTTGTCCGATGCTGGCTGTTGAGGATATCAGGGTAGAAAATTAGTGGCTAGAAGATCTCCTCTCCCTCTCTCACTCTCTGTAACTCAGAGTTTCAAATCTGAGTTTTAAAAAAGTCTATTAAGTAAAAAAAAGTAAAAAAAAAATCAACAGAAAAGTTAAAAGAGAAAAGTATCAGATGAAATGTCAGTGATAATTATGATGATTAGGTACTGTTATCTAACCATGAAGTGGTCCCTAACTTTTGTGCCCTTGTTAATGTCTGTATTGTCTGTTTCTTCGTTTCTGACATGGATGTCTATGAACTTTCATTTGGAGCATTATTGTTTTAGGACAGCAAAGGTTGTTTGGAGAATATCGGTGTCCTTCGGCTTTTGTAGCCCACCTCACAGCCCTTCAATGCTCTGACTTATTTGTGACTCTCTATTTTAGCATCTTTCCACTTTTGCTGAAAGAACACCTAAGACTCATGTTGCTGTGGCTCAAGGCATAGCCTGTCACCCATGCATGAGATCCAATGAGCTGAGACAGCACGAGCTGTCTCTCCATTTGAAATTGCTGAATGAATAAAAAGAACCTTAATTAAGCCATTTTTAAGTTTTCATAGCACTAGCAAACTTTTGTTCCACAATTTGTAGAATTCATGCACTTTTAATTGTGTTAAAAACCTTCATTCATTTAACTTTAATAAGTTCTTTATTTCCTTCTAAGAAAATTGAGTAGGAGTTGCCATAGGACTCACCTCAATTTTCCATTCTGCGATTTTGCTTATGGCTTGTGACATAATGTAGTAAATAACATAATATTCAAAGTTGCTGTCAGCTCTGTTACAGATGAGAAATCATCAAATTGATAGACCTTCCAAGTCACATTTCTTTTTTTTTAAAGATTTATTTTTTAAATTTTTATTGCAAAGTCAGATATACAGAGAGGAGGAGAGACAGAGAGGAAGATCCTCTGTCCAATGATTCACTCCCCAAGTGAGCGCAAATGCCAGTGCCACGCCTATTTGAAGCCAGGAGCCAGGAACTTCCTCTAGGTCTCCCACATGGGTGCAGGGTCCCAAGGCCTCGGGCCATCCTTGGCTGCTCTCCCAGGCCACAGGCAGGGAGCTGGACGGGAAGTGGGGCCGCCAAGACCAGAACCGGTGCCCACATGGGATCCTGGTGCACCCAAGGCGAGGACTCCAGCCACTAGGCCACTGCACCAGGCCCCCAAGTCACATTTCTACTCCTTTTTTTAGTTCCCATTGCTGCTTCTCTGTTTTAATAAGATTTTGATGGGATCTCTTTTTCCAAGAAGAAGGCAGGTCCTAAGATTGTCTATTTCTTTCTAACAGGTTTATTTACTGCTTTTGTTTCCTGAGAGGAATCTAGAGACACAGAGCGCTCCCACATGCTTGTTGGTTCCCCAGATGTCCATACAGCCAGGGCTGCTCCAGGTCAAAGCTATGATCAGGGCATTCAACACGCGTCTCTCACGTAGGTGGCAGGGACACAACCACGTGACCCATCGCTCCATCACCTGCTGCCTCCCAGGACACTGGAATTGGGAATGGGGCTGGGAGTCAAAGCTAGGCACTCTGCTAGGAAGATTCAGGCAACACCTGCAACTTTTTTATTGCTTCACCAAACACCCACCCCCACAAATAGTATGTTCTAACAATGCAGGGAAACCACTTCCTCCGACTGACCTCTTTCCAGCAATGGTTCATGATCTGGTAGATGCTGGAGGAGGCCAGACGCGGCTTGTACAGCCGAAATCCGGAGCTGATGTCCTCTACCACCTCCGAGTTGCTCCGGTTCTCGTATGGGATTTTACCTTCACTGAAGACTTCCCACATGAGCACACCTGTGAGCACAGCACAGCAGAGCAACGGTCAAGTAAACAAAGAACAATCTAGCCCGTTTCTCCCAATCACAGGCTCCTTCACACTGGGATCCAAGTCTCTACCTTCAGCTGCATGACACCAAGCCTGCCTGAAACTAACGGGGCCCATCTTGTGCTTGAAGAACTGAAATTTTCCTAATCGCAGAGACTTCTCACACTCAGCTCTTCGTTACTTCTCAGGTGTCTATTCCCATTAACTGCTTCAGGGGTTGGAAACTCAAATGCGTATAGCCATGCAGGAATGGACACCTTTTTGCTGCCAAGGGACAAGTGGATACTTATAACATCATTTGTGGGTCATACAAAATCATCAGCTTAAAAATTATCCTGCTATAGAGTCACTGCATTTGCAACCCCACCAGCAGCTGCATGGCAGAGCCAGACCAGATGATCGTGTGAGCTGGTGTAACCCTACCCTAGAGTGAGGCCCGAGACAACAGCAGCTGGTGAAGACTGTGGATTAAAGTTCTGTCCTGGTTGCCATTTGGGTCTAGCCAAAGTATGGCATATGCAAATGAGAGCAAAGGATTATTGTATTTTCCGCTTTTTGAAAAGTAGTGATAAATTGAGACTTTAAAAATGAGCTCAAGTTCAGTTTTTAAAAACCACAGTTGAGCATCTTTAACCTGAAAATACAAAATTTTAAATGCTACAAAATCTAAAACTTTTTGAAGAGTGATGTGACAACCTAAGTGGAAAATTCTGCATGATGAAACTTTCTTTCATGTACAAACTTACAAAAACATGTACATAAAATCACCTTCATGCTTAGCTTCCCATCCGCAAACTAACTCATTCTGTATATGTAAATATCCTCAAATCTGAAAATACTCAAAACTCCAAATATTTCCGATCCCAAGCAATTTAGATACAGGATACTCAACTTGTATGTACTGTCTAGGTCAAAGTACATCTTTACAAAGATGGCGTATTTATTTATTGAAAGGCAGAGTGATAGCAGGGAGTGGGAGAAGGAGGAAAAGAGAAAGGGACAGAGAGGTTCTTCCAACCACTGGTTTATTCCCCACGTGCCTGCAACAGCTGGGACCAAGTCAGGAGTCAGGAAGTCCAGATCTCACGCTTAGGACAGCATCTGCTGCCTCCCAGGTCCTTTAAAAGGATTGGATGGGAAACAGGAGGGACCCACCCAGGCTCTCTGCTATGGGCTCTCGGTGTCCCAAAGCAGTGCCATGTGCCTGCCTTTGACCGCTGCGATTTAATCCTTTTTCCTTTATTGCCTTTACTAGAAATGCCCAGTCAGCTGTTCTCTTTCTCGCATGCTAATATATTTATATGCTGTCAGAGTAGAAAAGGCAGCTTGCAAACCACCTTACACAGTGCTTTTCAAGGTATGTTCCAGAGAACCTCTGGGCAGTTTCCCAAGTGCCTGAGCAAAAGTCACCCTAGACATCCATTCATATTACAGATCCCTGGGCCGAGTCCAGAGTTGGCAAATAAGAATTTCCCTGAGGTCCTCAGAGATGTCTCAGGACTTGGAAATTCAGAATCTGACTATTAATAACTATTAATCGAGTATGGCAAGACAAGAGGATTTCTAGGACAATTTCTTCTGCATTTTGGATTCAGCAGCTCTAAAATGGTTGGCAAAGAATTGCTTTAAAACAAGCCTAATGCATAGATCAGGAAACTAAAGGAAGGTCCTTTCATTTTTGGCTAATTAGAGCAAAACACTTAAAATGTAAAGTTCAGGGTCTACAGCAAGCAGGCAGTGCTCAGCCCATCAAGTCTGTTACGCAGGTTAGCTGCTCCAGTTCTATCGGTCTTTAATTCACTGAACTTTTTCTTCTTCATATCCATCTATCAACCTCATCTCTGGACTCCCTTCAGGTAACACCTGTTGGGCAGAGATGGATTTCAGTAAAATCTTCTGATTATAACATGGAGCAGATAATTACCAAGCTGACATCTGTGGTTGATTATGCCCATTCAGACGCAGAAGTGAGTGTGCCAAAGTGCTCACCACTTTATGGGGTTCTAACTTGGTGCAGTGTGAACAGCTTCACATTCGTAGAGCGATGGCTGCATAGCAACCCTAACAATTCGAGTCAGACACATCAGAGAGAGGCAAGTTGCTTAAGAGTGTTACCAGGGCAGTCTTCAAAAATCATGCTAAAATGTATACCTGCTAAGAAACTGGTATTAGGGGAATGTTTCAAGGAGCAGATCAGGACTGCTTCAGAAATGGGTATTTTACATCCCCCCAAAATTTTAAAGCTAGCTATTTCTAAGATACTTAATTGGCTAGTAAATCCTTTACAAAGCCTTTCTTCATATAGAACGGCAAAATCCATCTCTTGGAAGTTCCTGTCTAAAGTCTCACCTTTCCTGAAATCCAAATCAGAGATTGTTAGGTATGTTAGATTAGATGGTGTGAACATGCTATGATTCAGCATGCTGTGAAGACTTCAACAGCCATAATTAGAAAAACATCTGAGGGTCCGGCAAGTTAAGCCTCCGTTTATAATGCCAGTATCTCATATGAGTACAGGCTCAAGACCCTGCTGCCTTACTTTTAATCCAGTTCCCTGCTAATGAACACAGGAAATCAGCAGAAGATGGCTTAATTACTTGGGCCACTGGCACTCACATGGGAGATCTGGCTCTTGCCTTTGACCTATTCAAATGGGAGTAAATGAGTGGATGGAAGTTATTGCTTGCTCTCTCTCTCTCTCTCTCTCTCTGTGAATCTGCCTTTCAAATAAATAAGTCAATCTTTCAAAGAAAGAAATCTTTTAAAGAAAGAAAGAAAAGAAAGGTTGGAAGGAAGGGAGGGACAGAAGGAGGGAGGGAGGAAGGAAGAAAATGTCTGGCTCAGAGTGCCATGCCGTGTTGTGTTTAGGCGAGGATAACACTCACCAAAGGACCACACATCTGACTTGCTGCTGTAGCGACTGAAGGAGAAGACTTCTGGAGAGGCCCACTTCACTGGGAACTTGGTGCCTGTGGAACTCGTGTATTGATCATCGAGGACAAACCTGGGAAGAGAGGCAGGGGAAGGTCAGGTTCTAGGGACTTGCAGCCCGTGCCTGAGATTCACCAGGCATCACTCCCGTCTTACCTTGTCATCCCAAAGTCCGATACCTTGATAACTTGGTTTTCTCCCACCAAACAGTTTCGGGCAGCCTGGAGAAGATTTAAGGGGACAAAAGAGAAACAAAATCATTGATGTGTGACTAGTAACTTAGGAGTTCTCTACAATCATAGTGCTGCGTTTTCTGTATGCTGTTATGTAAGGGCATGGGGGAGCTTCCCAAATGTTAATTAAGCTTCCCAATGCCTTTTGGAAGGTACCAGGGAAAGCTGAATGTGTGAGATTTCCACCCCTGGCTCCTAATTAGAAGAGAGAACCATGGTATTGTTTAACCAAGAGCTTGGGCATGGTGCAACCTGAAGTGATAGGGAATGTGTTAACTTGAGGGCGGCTTCATGGACAAGGTGTCTCTCATCTAACTTAAAAATGTCTTGAGGTTGTTCAGTAAGGAGAGCTCCTAGCCCTGATTAGGACCACAAAATGTTGTACTAGAAGAACTCTTGGAGATAAAGTCCTAGAGCGTCAATTTTTAAAGTGCCTTTCAATCACAATGGACATGTGGAAAAGCCCCCCAGATCCTCAAGATAGTTTTAAGGTTATCCCTTGATACTCTGGTAGACCCTTGGGTAACACTGCTAGCAAAACTCTATGTCCATTATCCTCATCTTACCAGCAGGACACTGATCTAAGACAAAGGGTCTGTTCCTTCTAGTTTGGAAGAATGAACCACTTAAAGGGAAAGTTAGAAGTAGGGCCAGGATTGGAGTCCTGTTTCAATCCTTTCCTATTGCCCTCCCAAAATGGGCAGATGCAGAGAGAAGATCAGAGAGGAAGGCTGGGGGCTTGTGATCAAATGTTCATGAATACAATTTCTGTCTGGCTTTCTCTCCTCTGCCACAGGACATGCCCTCCTTCCTGCACCCATGGCTGCTCTCCCACTGCTCGTACCAGGTCCCTGTGGATGAAACATTCTTCTTCCAGGTAGGCCATGCCCTCACACACGTCCAGGCACATGCCCAGCAGGGTCTCCGCAGCAAAGAGCCCCCGCTGGTTGCGCAGGTAATCTGACAGGCAGCCATGCTCCATGAACTCAAACACCAGGCAGATGGGTGCCTGCTCCAGGCACACTCCGTAGAGCTGGACCAGTTTGGGGTGGGAGAGTTTCCTGGAGGAAGAAAGGAAGGGGTGAGATGGCCTCAAGTCAGTATTCCAAAAGTATTGATCATTACATGGCACCAAAGTAACGGTTTTCAAACTAAATCCACACTCTCTGTCTGACACAAAAATTTGTCAAATGGAGCTGACAGGGCAGCAAGTCAGCTTGTGTGTGTGTTGGGGGCAGAAAGAGGCCAGTGTGAATGGCATGTTTTGGAACAGAGAAGAGCTGGGTAGAAGGTGAGAAAGACTTGGAGGTGGGCAAGGGTAGACCATGCTGGGGCTTTGTGGATTGTGTTGGGGAGTTTTTTCATTTTATTTTCTATGCAATAGGGAGCTGCTGTTGGAACCTGAGCAGGAAGGTGGCACAACATGGCATCAGAATGGTATTCAAAGAACATAGCCTGGAGCATATGTCCCAGGGTGTCTGTACAGTTTTATTCTGGGCACTTACATCATGACTTCAGCTTCCTCTATGAAGTCTTCTTCCGACATAGCTCCCTCACGAATGGTTTTGATGGCCACCTTGTGCTTGTTGAGCCAGTAGCCAAGATGCACTAACCCAAACTGCCCACTGCCAATCTCCTGCACAAAAGTGAGCTCTGATGGATCGATCACCCATCTCCCTGGAACAGAGAGAAAGAGCCATTTCAGGGCAAGCAACTAATGAGCTGTAGGGTCACCAGGAGACTACCGACCCCTGTCTAGATTTTAGCCAATTGTTAATACTTGTATAACTCATAGATGGTAAATAGTATAAGTCCTAGACTTACAGCTATTGTAAACACCTTTATTATCCTTTCCTAAATAACATCCTGGAATACACACTTAAAATCTTACAAGGTGTGTGTGTTGGGAGTTGCATGAATAGAAGAGAAAGGCATTGATCAAAATGGGAAAGAAATTACAATTCTGACTTTCCATAATCATAGTTCCACAGTCATACTTGATTGTGATTTTTGTATTGTCACGTTTCACATGGAGCAAACATCATAGGTCTTGATGACTGACTCATTGTGGGCATCAAGAGCAATCAAGAGCATCCTCTACATACCTAGCCCTCTGCAAAGTCTTGGCAGGAGTGGAGGTGAAAGAGGTGGGTGGATTCAAAGAAGAATTTTGCAGAAACACAAGCCAGCACAGTGTCCAGCACATGGCAGGCTCTCAACAAATGTATGAGAAACAAAAACCCATCTGAGCCTCAGTTTTCAGTCAACCAAATGAATGGGTTAGCCAGGCCATCACTGAGCTTCCATCAAGCATGGTCCATTAGGATTCCATGGTTATTGGAAGAACCTTATTTTTAGCAGAAAGATGATGATGCATTATCCTTTCCTTGATCTTAAAGAAGTAGGCCCAACAGCAAACACAATCGACTACCTACTATGTGCTAGACACTTCTGGTTGAAGTGCCGAGGGCAGTGTTTTTCAAAGTATTCCCCTTTACCACCTATGTCACCAAACGTATTTGTTTAAATGCATACTCGATGGGGCTGGTGCTGTGGCATATCAGCCTAAGCTTCTGCCTGAGGAGCCAGTATCTTATATGGGTGCTGGTTGAAGTCCTGGAAACCATCCAGCTCACTGCTTATGGCCTGGGAAAGCAGTGGAGGATGGCTCAAGCCCTTGGGATCCTATACTCACGTGGGAGACCTGAAAGAAGCTCCTGTTTCCTGGCTTTGGATTGGATCAGCTTCGGCCATTGTGGCCATTTGGAGAGTAAGCCAGTGGATCGAAACTCTTTCTGTCTTTCTCTCCTTTTCTATGTAGCTCTGCCTTTCAAATAAAAATAAAATAATTCTATAAAATTGCACCATTGAGGACCCAACCATCAAGGACTGCTTTGTTAGGTATTGGGGAGGGTCCCAGGACCAATGTGCTTCATTAACATTAGGGAGGATTTTCATACACTGAAGTTTGAGAGCCATCAGCCTAAATGAAAACTGGACCAGCCTTATCAAGTCAACTTGGGCCAAGGAAGGTAAATGCAAATCCCTTCTAAAGGCAAGTGGGTAAGGCAGTTTTCTAGGGCAGGAAGGAAGGCATAGCAGGAGATAAGACACTAGCGCTGCATGCCCTGACTAAAGGCATTCAAAATAACGTTAACTCCACTATGTAATAGTTTTATATGCTGCCAGACTGCAGTCCTTGCAGTAAACCCAGCCCAACAAACAAGATGTTACAAATATCCTAGAAGAAAGTGGAAAAACAGTGCTATGGTACTATTCAAATATTTTTCTATAAGCATTCAGCAGATGCTCTGTATGAAGTTGGTGCTCAACAAATCCTTCATTGATGAGGTAAGCCTTCATTAAAAGCAGTGGATATTGGTTTGTGTATGTCTATGTACATGTTTATATATATTATTAAATATAAAATATGCTAGTGTTACATATATATATATATATTTCTCTTGTACTCACTGTAAGAGTTCTTAATGTTACCATCTTTCAGTATATAGCATACTTATTCCAATGACCATTTGAACTTTGGGGTATTAGACTCAAGTTAGACTCAAGGCAAGTGCATTGAGAATTTTCCCAAGAACTCTGAGGGCATGAGTTTTAACTCAGATGCATCACATTTCTGATGATAGTGCTCACCGTATCGCAGCCCTGCTGTGACTGGGGCTTTCTGTCTCCAAGAAGAAACTGGATGGCGGAGTCTTGTGACCAGACCTGGGTTGATCAAAAAGCCAAAGGCAGTGAGTGGTTAGGGCTCTGCCAGAGCAATCAGTTCAATTAAATCCCTGGGAACAAAATACAATTGGATGCAAACCCTACTTTTATTGTGGACTACAAATCCCAAGGCCTATCATTGATATCACACCCTCCTGGAGAAGATTCACTGGCATGGATGTGATGATAAACTTCCACATCGTCTGCAGCAAAGTTTGCTAATGGAAGATAGGTGAGGTGATCAGATATCATTCCTCTTTTTCTATTTGTATATTTGGTTTCTATTTATTTTCAGCTTGTTTGAAAGGAAGAAATCAGGCTGAGCTTTGATGACTTTTCTCTGAGTTTCCTGGGAAGGTTTCCCTTGGGTTCTGTCCCCAACATCTTACCTCCTCCATTGTGTTGGTGGTACTTGATGAGCTGTGGGATGGAGTCAAACACGTACTTTTCAGCCACATAGTATCGCTTGGGGTTGTCGTTAGTCTCTTTGATATGATAATGCTTTATACAGGGGTTGTTCTCACTTTAAGCAAAGGCAACATGAATGCAGTGGTTATTAAGAGACAGTGTTGACTGAATGGGTGTTTGGCCAAATGGCTAAGAAATCAGCAAGCATACCTGGATTTAACATGAAAATGCCTGGTATCCCATCCCAGCTCCAGTTCCCAGTCCAGCTTCCAAATGACTCACACCCCATTGGCGGGTCAAGTGGTTGATTCCATCACTCATGTGGGAGACCTGGGTTGAGCTGCCAGCATTTAGCTTTGGCTTGTCTCTACGCTAGCCAGCATGGGCTTTGGTGGGATAAGCTAGTTAATGGGAATTCTCTTTATGTCTCTCCCTTTCTTTCTCTCAAATAAATAAATAAATGGCTTTTAAAAGAAGTAAAGTTGAAGCATGGAAATGTCTACAGGTTTCCTATTGTTTCTATCTTGTTCTGTGATCTCTCTCATAAAGGTGGCAGATACATTTCAATTTGCATATCAGTCTTGACAACTTATCTGTCAATGCCTGGAACATTGTATTAAAAAGGATTCTACAGGTAATCCTAAATATCAGGTATACCATGCAGTGGAGATACATTGCAGTACTTCTGAATAAAAGAGGGACTCCAAAAGAAACTGTTAAATATATCTTGACAATAGAATGCTGGACTTTATACCATTGTCTGCACCTATAATGTCATGATACACTCAAACAGTAGAATGTAAGACTTGTGGCTGTCACTGAAGGACTGTACTATTGTAATGATATGGTAAAAAACAGTGGAGCAGAGGTGGAATGCGGAGGGCAGAAGGGGAAATCCTTGAGCCTAAGGAACTGTATTGTGCCGTAAATCTTTTGTTTCAACCTCATACCTGTTGTTGACTTTGTTTCATGGCCTCTCATTTAAGGGAATGTATAGTGACGGCTTAATAGACTACCATATCCAGTTGTGAAGATGCAATACAGTATGCATCTCTACTTCTAAATTGTGGGCAATCACTCCCCTGCCTCTGCCAGCTACCTGGTGGGCATGGCTTAGAGTTTGCCTCCCCATGGCCTGAGGCACAGCTTCCAGGCCTACACGTGGAGTGTCACCTTTGACATGGCTAGAAGGTCAGGGGAACAGATGTGTGGTATAACCAATCATAGTGTCTTTGGTGGGCCAGGGGTGGGGGGTGGATGGGTGAGTGGGAGGTGGGGGGGTCTGCCGGAAGATGCCCTCCTGCCCTCCCCTTTCTTACCCTTTATAAGTTACAACCTGTGCATAATAAAGCCAACATTCCTTATCAGTTTGTTTCCGGTGCTTCTTATGGCCAAAGAACACTGCTGCCTCACCCTTGGTGACCTCTCCTGTCTTGTGGCCACGGAAGAAAAAAATCACCAATGGACCACAGCACTGTTTCTAACAATCCAAGTACTGCCTCAAAATCCTTCTTCTTTTTTTAATTTTGAATTTTATGGTGTAATTCCATAGGGCCTGGGATATCCTCTCTCCCCTCCCAAAACTCCCACCTCTGCCTGATTTTTCCCATATTGCGATAGTGTAGTCCTTCATAAGCAGTCTTGAGTTCAAGACTGCTTATTTTTTTCTTCCGTGGCCACAAGACAGGAGAATTAATATTTTATATGCTATGTGCTTGCTTTCCTTTGTCCTTGAATTTATTTAATTGTCAAGTCTGTTGAATAAGTGTCTCTGCTTTCTTTATATATATCTGACTGGCTTGCATGGTTAGCTCCGGCTGGTGTTTTGGAACTTGATTTTCAACAGGGCTCTCAATGTTCTCTGATGAAGGGTGCCTTCCCGAGTTTAAACTATTTGCATCAATGGTATGGCTTATGCTGAACTCTTGAATTTCTACTTGGATTCTGGAATTTGGGTTTGTGCTAGGATGAGGGTATTTGGATAAGCAGTCTCTGATAAGAACTCATAGCTCTGAGTCTCCCTAAGGAGCTCTCTACCAAAAAGACTTCACACACATGGCAATAACTGGTTACCAGATTGCACAGACCAGGGTGTGACTGTCCTTGGAGAGGTCTCTATGGAAGCCTGTGCTTGGTGTCTTCTGATCTTGGCCCCAGGTGCCTTTTCCCTTTGCTGATGTTGCTTTGTAGGCCTTTGCTATAATTCATCTTGGGAAATGTTAGTGTTGGGGATCCTCTTAGTGAATGCCAGAGCTGGTGATGGTTTGGGAAAATGTTCAAATCAGCCTTTATCTCTCATTCCTTCTTCGGCCTACCTTACTGTTCACTCTCCTCATTGCCTTCTGGCCAGAGCAGAGGCCAGTCCTACTGTGATATTTAGCATGTTCTTCCCTCTCTCTGGTAGGTGACCTTCCTCTTAGCCATTGTCCAAAACCTGCTCTTGGTCCTGGTCTTCAAAGCCCCCCTGAAGAGAGCTATACAATTGCTTTTCTTTTCTCTTAATTCTTACGGTTCTTTGATCATTACTAAACTGCGTGTTAGTAATTCTCTAGTCAGAAGAGCATTTGTGACCTTACTAGACCCTTAAATAGGGAAAGAAATTGAGCTGCAGTCAGCTTGGCTGGAGGATGGATTTGGCTTTGACCGTGTCAGCCCACTGCTGCAGGGAAGCAACTCCGGTTCTTTGACCCTTGTACATGAGCACTGAGGGCCAGCACAGTGGCTCAATAAGGAGTTTTTTTAGCAGTGGAATTTCTTAGAAATGGAATTCAAGTAGTTTCACCTCCAATGGGAAATATCTTTTGTGATGCCATAGGTATTTACTCATCTGGTCATCAGCTACAGGGCCCACTGTTTCACTTCTCTGGAGGTCTCCATCATGAAGAGGACTTGGCATCTGACGCCACTCTGTGCTTCCTAACTAAGAAAGCAAGTTTCTTCCGCTCTGCCCTTGATCTCCCTGGTCTTGGTCACCTCAGAGGAAAGAGGACAAAGCTGACCATTTGTAGCGAGCCTCTATTGCTTGCCTTTCTTTTCTTTACTGCAGATGTATCCATTCGTTTGAAAGGCGGAGTTACAGAGAGGGAGAGATAAGAGAAAGAGAAATCTTTCATCTGTTGGCTCACTCCCGAAAAAGTTGCAATGGCTTGGCCTGTGCTAGGGTGAAGCCAGGAGTTTCAGGGCCCAAGCACTTGAAACCTCTTCCTTTGCTTTCTCAGGCATTTCAGCAGGGAGCTGGAGTGGAAGTCAAACGGCTGGGTCTTGAACCTGCACTAAGGTACAGGATACCAGATGTAGGTGGCGGCTATGCCACAATACCAATTGTATTTCCTTTATTTTTATTTAAAGAAGCTTATTTAGTTGAAAAATAGAGAGCCAGAGAGATAAGACAGAAATATCCCCTATCTGTTTAACCGTTAAAAGCCTGCAGCAAAGGATGCTGCATCAGGCTGAAGGCAGGCAATTAGAACTCAATCCAGGTCTTCAGTATAGAGGGCAGAGAACCAGGTCTTGGATTATCACCTACTGCTTCCCAGGATGTGCTTTAGCAGGATGTTTGAATTAAAAATGGAGCAAGGATCATACTCGTACATTCTGTCAAGAGCAAGTTACATCTTGTACAACAAATGCTTCCCTCCCCACCCCCAGCATACTTTTGATTGCTGTGGGCAGCCCATCATGCTCCCAACTCTAAACTGTGTCTCCCCACTTTGCTGAACTGAGCCAGCACCTTACCTTACAACAGCCTTAGTGAAGACAGACACAGTGTAGGTGCCTGGAGTCCTGGAATCTCGGACCATGAAGGCTCCTTCTTTGCCCTGGAATGGTTAGAAAGAATGGAAGGTTATGATCCCCAAAAGCTAGTCTCATGCGTAAGCTCCCTTTCTTGTTTGTGAAACAAGGAAAGACTGAGGGCCAGCTAAATATAGCTGATTTCCAGTAATAATGTGGTACCATCTATGTATTCAGCCAGTTAATATTTCCTGTATGGGTCAGGAACTGCATGAATGCTGATGCTAACTATGAATGACACAGAAATCTATCCTTTTAGAGTCCTCCTTGTGCCAAACTCTTTGCAGACATCTCTCCAAACTCTGCATAGCATTACAGTCTGGATTTTATTATCCTCACTTTACCCAGGAAGACACTGATTCCCAAGAGCCGAAAGGTGTTTGATGGAGTTGGATGTGAACCTGGGCATCCGAGCAAAGCCCATGATCATTCTCTAGTCCACAATGTCTTCATTCAACAGCTGTTACAAGTCACTTGTCCATTTTCCATGGTTTGGTGAAAGGTGGGGGGGGGGGTGTTGGAATTTAAAATTTCTGTCCCAGAAACTCACTTCCTAAATGAGAATGAAATTTCTTGAATCATTTCCACAGTGCTGATTTGGCTGAAAGAACCCTGGCTACACAAGGGAGGTAAGGAGAAGAGAGGGCTTCAACAATTAACCATGCTCTCATTTTTCTTTCTCTCAGATGTAAATGTAAAACTACTTATGCAATAAAACATTAAGGATCCTACTTGTGAACTTGTGTTCACAAATCTTTTTTTAAAAGAAAATCTTAATTTTTTTTTCTCACAATATATATATTCCCCCTTCTTCATGTTAGTAGTTTATTCAGTGAAGGTGATTTACAGGACATAAAAATTCCAGCTAAGTTAACTGGTTTGTAAAAGGAGCTTTCGAAGCATAATTTGCATACCATGAAATTTTATCATTGTATACTTAAAGTATACAATTCAATGATGTTTAGACATTCACAGAGTTGTGCATCCATCATCAAAATCTGATTTCAGAATATTTTTATCACTCCACCTCCCGCCACACTGATGTGCCTGCTACTGTTTGTAGATTTGCCTGTTCTAAATACTTTATATACAAGGATGTGCCCCAAAGTTGATGGAAATAGAATTCAAATGCAAGTTTATTTTGGTATGAAGTTGTGAAATGCATGCATTTTTCTAAATGTTTTGAAGATTGCATCATACCTATAATTTCTGCATTTCTGCTGAAATAAACATTTTAAATTCTGTTTTGCATAATTTTTGGAAGTGGCTTCACAAATGAAATCACACAATATGGGGTCTTTGTGATGGTTTCCTTCGCTTAGCATGTGCTTGTGGGGTTCATCTGACCTGCAGTGCTCTGTAGCACCTGTTAGTGCCGAGTCCTTCCAATGGCCAAGCAGCCTTTCATTGGATGGACACTCCCTATTTTGTTTATCCAACTCATTAAAAATGAGTTGTTTCTAGCATTTCACTGCTGTGGACACTGAATTTGGTTTTGCTTAACATAATCTGTGTGTGATATTCATCCAGATAGCATAGCTTGTCTTAAAAATGTTTCTCCTGCCAAATAATGTGGCACAGCTCTTGTGATGGGTTAGATCAAGACAGGAAGAAGCAAACCCTCAGCAAAGACACGCCTTGTTGGAGTGTGTAACTTGCACTAAAGCGAAAGAAACACAGACCAGAAAGATCAGAAGTTCAGCAAATTTCAAGAGGGGAGTGCAATCATGTCTTCCACCTAATGAAGAATGTTTTGCTGCTTTCCTGTGAGCTGTTACTCTTTCAAAGAAGCCATTGCTTTTCTGAACAAAACGTGTAATTAGAGCAGGGCTAAGTTGTTAAGACTCAGCCACCTACAGGCACTAGGGCAAGCAGAAGCAAGGCTGCCGACAGCAACCACATGTTGCTTAGCTTTGAAGCATGCTCCCCTTCCATGTGGTTGTTATGGGTGACTTGCTGTGACAGCAGCAGTTAACCTTGGTTTGTGGCTGGGTTGCCAAGAGTTCTGAGGAAAGTGACGCACCCAGCACGTGCTTTACCACCTGCATCCTGCAAGGGGTTCAGAGGTAGGCTCGACCTGCAGCAGCCCTGGAGCCTCAAGAGGCAGCACTCACATCACCTGCCAGGACTCATAGGAGACACTATCTTGTACAGTGCAGGCAGATTGGAGTCCTTGCTCCTTTGGGCTGTATCCAAGGTCCCATTTCATCCTGCACTACTTTATGCCAGGAAATAAGAAATCAACAGGAAAAAAAAATCAAGTAGAAAAAAATTACGCTGAAAAGGTAAAAAAAAAAAAGAATATATGTGTGTGTGTGTGTGTGTGTGCATGTGTATAGCACTGGTAGGGTGGATGAATAGATAGCAAATCACACAGTCCCTCATTAACTCTGCATGTGTGCGACAGTGTGCATGTAGAGGCATTCCTGCCTTAATCCAGACTATCCCCTTAATTCTTCTGTTTCTGATCTTGGTCCAAGTTTACTAGCCTATGAAAATAAGGGGATGAGCCAGACACTTTCATATGGAAATTCTAGCTCCAACCCTCTAGGTGAATTCCAGATACTTTGTGATTTCATGTTTGAGTTTAAATCTATTTTTTCAAAAATGAGCCTTTTCTAAGGCTCTCAGGAAAACTAAAGAGCAGCTCCAAAATACAACTCCAGGAGAAATACTATTAGTGTGACTGTGAGCCATTATTGTCATGTGCTAAGGTACACTATCTGCCGAAAATACTAATTCCACATCTATCTTTATCTGAGATACATCGGCCTCCTTTCATGCTTCTTTGTTTATATATATAAACATATTCTTGCTTATAAATAAATATACGTATATGTTTATAAACATATCCCTTCTACATGTTCTTGGGCAGAGATGAACCGCCTTAGCATGTTGCAGTATGCGTCTCTGACCATCTTTCATTCTGGCATGGTTGTTTTTCTTCTCTTGAAATACTGCATTTTTATTACTATCTTATAAATCTGATAAACCATTACCTTATTTAAGGCTCTGGTATGAAATTCAAGTCACCCCAAACAGGAGATGTTGCAAGGTGTAATGAGTGTGTCACAGAAAACCTGCTCACAAGCGATTTGCCCTCTGCCTAGGCGCACCAAGACAGAACAGAAATTAACAAGCTCCAAGACAGAAGGAAAACAGAATTACCAGAAAAGTCACCATGTTGCACTACAAAGGTTCAAAGATGAGAAAACTCACATTCCACAGCCAGGGACAGGGAAGGTTCCCGAAGTCTTTTGGAAGAAGAGATACTCAGCGAACTGATGGGACATGTTTGTTAGGCCTTTTGGTGCTGCAAGCTTGAGAGAGTTTCCGACTCACCTCGATGGTCCAGGTCTCATGAGCAGACCTGGAGTTCAGCTATTTCTACAAAACTCTGCCAATGGATGTTTATAATCAACCAATTTTTAATTCATAAAGCATCTGATATAGTTATTCCTTCAGCAGATACTGATTGGGCAATTATTTTGTGACATGTACACCATGGAGAAAAAAAAATAAAAGCTTTTATAGTCTGATGGAGAAACATGTACGGTGCTACACAGGAGTTTTAGTCAATGAACACCTAAGGTGTTGTACACCAAGATACTACATTCATGATATGGTGCAATTTTAGCAGAGCTTGCTTTGCTTCCCATCACAGTCACCCTGTCACGGACTGTGATCAACTGTGCAGACCACACAAGTAGAGTGGTGGGATGAGTGTGGGTAACTGTCACCCCTGATTTACTTCAGTGCTAAACTCAATGAGAGACCGAGGTCCAGGAGCAAGAACAGATGTCCCCAAGGTCACACAGAGCTGTTGGTAGAACAGGCACCAGAACCCAAGCCTTGCTCCACGACACTGTGCCTCTTTCTGCCTTCTCATCCTTCTCTCCCTTAACCCTGCCATCCCTGGGTCAGGTCAGTCGTGTTTTATACACTACATGCCTTTAGAGAAAAATTGTAGATGAAAAAAAAAGTCAAGAAAGCATTATAGGAGGCTTCTAAAACTTCATGGAAAATGTCATTTAAAAGAAGCAAAATGTTTGAAATCCATGCTTTTTTTTTTTCAGAATATATAGATTCTGAAACCTTTTCAGAGATCCCCTGTATTTCCTTAGGATCCACAGCCTAATCAGCAGAATCTGAGTCAGTCACAGACACTCCTGACATTCACAAAAAACCATGCACAGTACAGCAGTCCTGCTGAGTCTCCAGGGCCGTGACCATCACAACTGTGCTGATGGCAGCCTGGTGTCACTGTTACTTCCTGTCCCTCACCCCTGCTGCCAGGGTTCTTATCCTGTGGTGTGCTGGTCCTGTAGGGCCTCAGGCTGTCTTCACCAGCTGTGAAATCCGCTGAGGATCCACTGGCAGAAACCGCAGCATGACTAAAAACCAGTACAATTCATTCTATTTTACACTGAAAGACAGGTTAAGGAGACTTACCGTGTCTAAAAGGAGCTTTTCAGCTTTGTCTCGGCTGATACTCTTGTTGTACCACCTGGAAACAGGAAGAAGTCTTATGTCTATGACATTTAAAAAAATATGTCATTATTTACCTATAAAAGACAGAGCTACAAAGCCATGTGGTTGGTGTCTATTTCTACAGTGCCTTCACACTCAAAAGCAAAGGTACAATCCACTGCCACGTGATACACTTTTGCTTGGACAGAATTAAAACAAAATTGGTTAAATAATGATCATTGCTGAAGAGACTGCATTATTTTCATAATTTTGATGTCTGAACAACAACCAAAACGTGGTAAATAAGCATGAGAGTGATTTTCAGAGATGTTATTTTCCATGTGGTTAGTAGTATTTTAATAACGTTTTGGCCCCTATGTGTTAAACTTGACAAGGTTGCCAGACATTCTTCCCTGGTCAGAGGAGACAGGGGCTCAGTTGTTAGTAATTAGTTTGGGAAATTAATACGTTTCATGGAGATGAAGTTGTGAGGAAGGGATACCACTTATCAAATATGTTGATTTGAGAATAGCCATAAAAAAGTGATTCCTGAGTTCGGCGCAGTAACCTAGTGGCTAAACTCCTCTCCTTGAACGCACCAGGATCCTATATGGGCGCCAGTTCTAATCCCAGCGGCTCTACTTCCCTGCTTACTGTGGGGTGTTGAAAATGGAGAGAAGTAGGTCTTCAGTTCAGTGTTTGAGACAACACCAACCCCTGTATCGGAGTGCCTGGGTCTGAGTCCTGGCTCTGCTCCTGAGCCTCACTGCCTGAAAATGCACAGCACGTGGGGCAACAGGGGATGCCTCACATATCTGGTCCTTGCACTCGCATGGGAGAACGGAATGAAACTGCCAGTCTCAGCTTTGGCCTGGGCCAGTTTAAGCTGCACTTGGGAATGAACCAGTAGATGGAATCAACCTCTCTCTTCCTCTCTCTCTCTCTCACTGTATGTCTATTTACCTTTCAAATAAATAAGTATCTTTGATGGTGTCACCATCAGAGTGAGGTCTACCTGCATGTTTTATTGTCTGTTCTTTTCATTTTACAGAGAAGGTCCCATGTCCAAACCATCATAGGAGACCTGAATCAAATCAATTTACTAACATGCTTAGATTCTTAAGTGGTATATTCTGATGTTCTTCCATAGACTCCACATGAAACTCAGCAACATTAAAATGTTTAAGGATAAAAAGTCATCCCACTGCGCATCTTTTACATCCAGCCATACACTAAGTATCTGCATGTTTTCTTATGACTCATTTTATTCTCCAGCTGAGATTTCATAATCTGGAAAATGCAAACTGAGTCCATAGACTGGACTGTATGATGTAATGTTTTATTTTTAAAAAATGACAACTTACTTTTAAGTGGGGGAATATTTTAGGTGGGAGGTTATTTTTGGGGGGAGGGGCATTCTCCACCATTCCATACTTTTCCATTTTTCATCAGAAAAGTAAATTTGCTTCCTCAATCATAAACAGAGAGAGTCTGATTAAAAGCAAAAACAAGAACCCCTACTCTAGGAGTTTTCTAAAATAAAAAACCTATTTTTTCTACAAAGTCACTGATTATAAAAGGATAAATTTTATTGAAAAATATGTCACCTGTTTCAGTTCAAATGTTCCTGGACCTGACAAATCTTGTTTTAGCCAAGGAAAAGACTTGATTTATACAGACTTGGTCAAAGTGAATCTTCAGTTGAGAGACTTCAGAAAATGATATATCTTTACTACCGACAGTACGATTTTGTGGAAAATAATGACCATATTTGCACACATTAGATCTCTAAAGAGCTAATAAAAATTCTTGTGAGCTTTATTGTTCAGCCCACTTTTTTTTTCTGGTGAATACTTAAACATTTTTTAATGTTGGTAATTCCAAACTTACAAAAGTTACAAAACAGTATAAAATAACTCCCATGTATACTTCATGCAAATGAACAAATTATTAACATGCTGTACAAGTGCTTTACCACATTGTCTCTAGATAGAAAAGCATATAGTCTTTTTTCTTTTCTTCTGAACCATTTGAGTAGACTTTTGCTCCTAAAATACTTAAGTGTGTATTTCTTGGGCCACAAAATATGCCATTTTTATAATCACATAACTGTTACCAAATATCATATCATCAAAATTTAACATGTATACACTACTAATATCGATACTTCTTATAATGTGTCCTGTAACAAAAAAAAAAAAGAATATAGTATGATTCAGGATTCATTTGGGATTACAGATGCATTTAGTCCCATATCCCTAGAGTCTCCTTTAACACAGACCGCCTTCTGAAACTTTGGTGTCGTTCATGACAGGAACATTTCTGAATGATATAGACTGGTTATTTATGGGATGTCCCCCAATTTGGATTTATTTAATATATCCTCACAACTGAACTTAGGGTCAGGGTCTAGGGTCAGGGATAGTACAGAAATGATGCTTGTATCCTTCTTGGTGCACTGCATAAGCAGACATGGTATTTCTCTGTTGTGCATGGACATGAACCTGGGTCACTTGGCTCAGATCATGGCAATACTTTGAGACTGTTCACGTAATGGCATCACCTGCTCACCTCCTTTCTGTGATGATCACTGATGATTTTCACCTCAATCAGCCAAAGCTTTGGGCTGGAAATGGTGATTGTTTTAACATTACATTCATTTCTTGGCATTCTATTGTAAGAAAGAACACTCATGTATTTACTTAGCTAACTATTTATTCTAGATTCTTATTTTGTTCAAAGGGTTATAATCCATTATTGTCCTTCTTTACCTTGCTACTAAGATTGTCCCAATTTTGTCAGGGGCAGATTTTTAAAGTTGACTTTTGTGCCCATTTGACATGGACATGTCGTTCAAACAAAGCTTTCTCTTACTCCGTGATGTAACAAGTGTTCTAAGCCCATCTTGTTCTTTCCATGCCTAACCCCAGGATTTGCAAACCATTTTTTTCGGAAGTCCTGGTTCTTTTTAATGCCAACTTTTATTTTAGACCCCTGATCTGGGTGGGTGATCTGTTCTTTGTTATACAGTGTGCTTGCTTCCGAGCTTTCAGCTCCTGTGTAGGACATGGTGAGTACTTGGTGCTCACAACTGAATTTCTTAACCATTCTGTAGTTCCATCAAAATGTGCTAGCTGGGCCCAGCGCGGTATCCTAGCGGCTAAGGTGCTTGCCTTGAATGCACCAGGATCCCACATGGATGCCAGTTATAACCCAGGCGGTTCTGCTTTCCATTCAGCTCCCTGCTTGTGGCCTGGGAAAGCAGTCAAGGACAACCCAAAACCTTGGGACTCTGCACCCATGTGGGAGATCTGCAAGAGGCTCCTGGCTTTAGATTGGTACAGCTCCAGCCCTTGTGGCCGCTTGGAGAATGAATCAATGGAAGGAAGATCTTCTCTGCATATCTAACTTTTCAATAAAAATCAAATAAATCTTTAAAAAAAAAACCCAAATGTGTCAACTTCCTTTAAATGGAAACTTTGAAAGAAATGCAATCAAAACAAATATCAAATATCCATTATTCATTATTTTGGTATTTGAAGCATTGTATGAAATCATGTTTTAAGCCTGTTTTGTGTCTGATCCTAAGCTAATAGTTTTTTTTCAAGTAAGACACATTTCCCTGCCTCTACAGAACCGTTCTTATCTACCGCAGCTGCTGAGCACCTGAAGACCATGCCTTTAAAGGGGCAGGTGTGCACAGACACTTGGCTCCTCCCCCCACACAGGCTGCATGCTCACTGTTATTTAGAGACCAGGGTATGGGAGAGAAGAAAGTGGGTCAAGAAAAGGGAACATCTGGTATTTTTGTAGTCAAGCCTTACTTTCCTGCTAATCTAGGAGGATTACTTATGATCATAGCTTTCAAAAACAAATAAAATAGCTTACTCATGAGTTTCCAGGTTATTTGGAGATTTTTCCACCAGATAACTGCTCGGTACATATCCTTCATGCCTGTTAAAAGGAAAATGAGTGTGTAGGTTAATATGGAACTAATTTTTACATTTTTCTTTATAGCTTTAATCCATTTAAGTGTCATTTAAAGAGCCTCAAATCATTTGGCTTTTGTGGTGAGATCTAGCAAAGTTTAAGATTTAAAAAACTGGTAAAAACAACAACAAGCTGTCCGTGAAAGGCAGTGGATGTCAACAAGCTGTCCGTGAAAAACATGAAAACAAATAAGAATGCTGCTTTACTTCAGCAGTTCAGCTTACGCTTTCCCTCATTGTGAAATTTCCCCTACTGGAAAAAAAGTTTTATGTTCAGCCTCCATTTTCTGTAAGTAAATATCTTTTGTGTGCATGATAATCACTATTTTTCCACTTCTGTGCTTATTTCATAGTTAGAAAGCCAAAAGAATTAAGATATAAAAGATGAAAACCAATGGCAAGTTCTAAGAGATAAGATCACAGTTGGAGCTACAAACTTTAATAAAAATTTAAAATTTATTTTGAAAAGGAAAGAGACAAGGAAAAGAGTAAGGCCCCCATACAATGCTTCATCACCACCCCATCTCCCAACCCCTTATTGCCCACAGTGGTCCCTGGAGCTGCGTTGGGAACTGGAAGCTCACTCAGTCCAGGTCTCTGTGTGGGTGGCAGGGATCCAGTGACTTGAGTCATCTCCCAGGTTGACCTTGGAAGGAAGCTGGAGTCAGGAATTGGAGCAGGAAATCAAAGCCAGGCGCTCCAGTGGGGGAGGCAGGCATCCCTTATCCCTGCTCCTACAGAACACCTATCTGAGCTTCTTCAGATAGCAATGGCATCAATGTGAGAAGGAAGGTTAAAGTTAGGCTGGATAGGGAGGTCGAACTAATGACTGCATAAAAAGTTTGATAAATTATTAAGACGATGGCAATTTATATTTTTGTAGTTTGTAGTTTTCCTGAGTGCTCTCACATTCACTATCTCATTTAAAACCACGAGGTATGGGAAGATTCCCTTCCACTCTCTGGACGTCTGGCTCTGTAACTCCAAAATGAGGGGAAGCCAGGAGACTAATTCCGACGATACGTAAAATCCTACCCTACTCTGCCAGATCACAGGTGGATACTTATTTGTTTCTCACTTCTCGTTCTAGAAAGCATTGTGATTTATAAAACAATATCAATTCTCAATCTCGTGATTCTTTTTAATGGGAAATACATAATCTGTGCCATGAAGATGTATTAAGGAGTGAAGGAATCAGGACTAAAAAATATCAGTGGCAGACACGGCTATCAGTCATGGCACACTCTCTGAGAACTGGACATCCAGATGCAGAATCAGCCTTAACACAACACTCAGGGCATTGTGTTCATTCATTACTGATGAAAGTCAGCTTATTCTGGCACTGGTCATTCTTTCTGCTATTTCCCTTTTGGAAATTTATCTTAACTGAATTTTGTTTCTTCCTTGCCACACAACATATTCATAATTTTGTGAACAGACCAAATCATAATTATCCTTTCGAATGGACTAGTGTTTGGCAGCTGAGTCATCTGTGCAGATGATGGTAATTTTTATCGGTTTGATGCGGATATGCAGAAATCATAAAGTTCTTTAGCATCTCACTGACTGTCCCAAGAATGGGAGACAGAAAATTGATGCCGTCATGCGCAACTCACAGATAAGCACACACGTGGTCATGTGAGACAAGAGGCGCTGACTCCAAAGTCCAGGTCCTCTGTCTTCCTGTCCTGATTGCAGCTTCTTTCCAAGGCCAACCTGGGAGATGGTGCAAGTGGCTGGACTTAACAGGTACTCGGACATAGGATTCCAGGTACCACCAGGAGGCTTGCTGCAGAACTGATCAGTTTCTAAGTCAGGCAATCCCTTAGGCCCAGGCAGTCTGGAATCTGTTCCTGGTTTGTACCTCCTCATAGCAGGCTCAAAAAAATAAATAAATGAATAAATGAATAAATAAATAAATAAAGTGAGAGGACCAGCCTTGTTCACTTCCTTGCCAACTTATCTTAGAGAAGGACTCATTAAATAGATTTTTTTCATTCAAAAATCCCATAGGGGACAATTAGCATTTGTGTAACTTTCATTCAGGAGTCATTTGTGTGGCTAGTTCAAAGACTGTAATATAACCAAAGCTTCAGCATTTTTTCTGATGTTTCTTAGCATAGTCACCAATCTGTACCATCTCTACGTTTTTCACTAAATTTAAGCATTACATAATGGGATGCTCTTCATCGCCACTTAAACACTTAATAATGAGGTCAGCTTTGTGGCATGGCAGATAAACTCTAGCTTTACATACCTGATTCCATGTTCATAGTGCCTAGTCAGGCACTTTTTCATGCCTTTTTTTTTTAAAAAAAGATTAATTTATTTTTATTTGAAAGGAAGACTGACAGAGAGAAGGAGAGACCAAGAGAGAAAGGTGTTCCATTTGCTGGCCACAAATGGCTGCACTGGCTGGAACTGAGCTGATCCAAAGCCAGGATCAGCTTCTTCTGGTTCTCCCACATGGGCACATCCATTCTCCACTGTCTTCCCAGGCTATAAGCAAGAAACTAGATCAGAAGTGAAGTTCCTGGGACTAGAACTGGCCCCAAAAGGGATGCTGGTTCTTGAAAGTGGAGGATTAGCCTGTTGAATCACACTGCTGGTCTCTGTTTCATGTTTCTGATCCAGTCTTATGCCAATGCGCCTGGGAGGCAGAAGACAAGGACCTAAGTACTTGGGTTCCTGCCGATAAGACAGATTCAGATAGAGTTTCTATTTCTTGGCTTTGGCCTGGCTCAGGCCTGAGTGTGCAGGCATTTGGGATCTCTTACTGTCACTCTGCATTTCAAATAAACAATTATTTTAAGGCAGTCAAGAACAACAGTGCTTCAGAGGACACACTGCTAATTTCCTGAGATCTAGAGGACACTGGGAAAATCCAGGGTGTTTTTAGATGCATCGGCCCAACCTCACAGGTGACTGCCTCCTATTCATTAATGGGAAGAGGAAAGACCCCCTACTTCCTTCTCCTGTCTCTAATCTCCTTTCCTAATTCAGAGTGAAGACAGGCTGAAGCAGAGGGGGCAAATCATTTCAAAGTTCTTTGTTCCTAGCACACTTCAAACACTGGGACAGCAACCACAAAGATGCCTTACCCATTCCTGTCCTGAACTCTCCACCAGTGAATCTCGGAGCTGTCCATCAGGTAATACTCCTCATTCCGTTGCAATGCAAGCTCCTGAGGGTCATTTGTTTGGTAGTCATACAGGGCAATAACCAGGGTTTCCTCAGCTTCCCGAAGGGACCTCTGCAGAGTAGAGATGACAAAGCAAGCAAAGACGTAAAAAATTAGGTACAATATGAGCCAAGGTCCACAAATCCTTGAGCTGTAACTTCCTCCCAGATCTGAGCACAATGAAGCATTTGGTGGCATGAAAGCATCAAAGCTTAAAATAAAACAAAAACAAAGTAAAACAGAACAAGACAAAAATACAAAAGACTAGGCATACTGATTTGGGTCCATATTAAAATTTAGTGTAGACATTTATGGAGCTTGTGAAGTCTTTTGGGTACCATAGAAAAGAGTCAGTGGGCCTTAGGTTTTTACCATGTAATCTAGGGAGAGAATAACTTTGTTCAGATCCAGTAAAAGAAAGCTATGGCATGGCATTCACCTTAATATAGGCCCAACTCATTGACCAATCCCTAAGAAGAAGAGAATCCAAAAGCGTTTTCAAGTTATGGAGTTATCTTCCCGCAGGGCCATGCTGGACAGGCATGGTGGTGTTCAGAATATTACAAAGTTGGAGGTTTGCTCCAGGCATTCAGTGGGCAACAGCTAAGGATGTAAAATGCTCTGCAGTATTTTATATCCTGCACAGAATTCTTTATTTATTTGAGAGGTAGAAAGAGAAAAACAGAGGAAGAGAATGTTGCCATTGAGTAGTTTAGTTCCCCAATGCCTGCAGCTGCTGGATTTGGTTAGATTGAAGCCAGGAGCAGGAATCCAATCCAAGGTCCACAGGTGGATGGCAAGTTGCTGTGACTTGGCCCAGTTCTAATGAGCCTGAACCCTTGTGAGAGACACAGATGAAGCTCCTGGATCCAGTGTGGCCCAGCCCTGGTCGTTGTGGCCCTTTTGAAGGTGAATCAGCATTCTGGTTTGTATCTTGGCTGCTCCACTTCCCATCCAGCTCCCTGCTTGTGGCCTGGGAAAGCAGTTGAGGGCAGTGTAAAGCCTTGGGGCCCTGAACACACGTGGGAGATCTGGAAGAAGTTCCTGGCTCCTGGCTTTGGATCAGCTCAGCTCTGGCTGTTGTGGCCACTTGGGGAGTGAACCAGTGAGTGGAAGATCTTTGTCTCTCCTTCTCTCTATAAATCTGACTCTCCAATAAAAAAAAAATCATTTTTAAAAAAGAAAAAGAAAGTAAACCAACAGGTAGAAGAACTCTTTTTGTCTCTACCATTCTCTCTCAGTAATTTAGCCTTAAAAATCCTTTTAAAAATATTAAAAATCTCACCATTATCTCACATAAACTATTTTTTATTTTCTTTTTAAATATTATAATTAGAGCACTTAATTCTTTTAAAAGACATATTAACGTATAATTTACAAACTCCTTTCAGGATAACAAATGGAAATTTACCTAACATTTGTCATTGAAAGGGAGCACTGGTCTGACAGACCTGGGTCTGGCAGTTCACCAGCTAAGTCTGTGGGCTTAAGAAGGATAGCTTGGGGGCTAAGGTGGTAAGGTGGAGGAATGGGGTGGAGAAAGGCCCCATATCCTGGCCACTCTGCTGCAGGCCTCAGAACAGTCCTGACCCAGCAGGGCAGAGCTCCAGTGGGCTTAGAGGGGATTCATAGAGAGCCTGGAGCACAGGGGCAGGCACAGGGAGCCTTCATAGGAAGCCAGGGTATAAGCAGACATTCCTGAGTGAGGCCATAGGAGTCACTGTAGGCAGACACTTGTGAGGGTCAAAGTCAAGCACTCTGGCTTGACTAGGAGGGTTCTTGACTGAGATTCCTGGGTGTAGCGAAACCAAGAGAAAGGGGGACTTCCGTATGAACTATGACCACATTGGCCATGCCTGGGCCTGTCCCTGACTTTGACCATTGATGTTTAAACAAAAACAGCCACCACGCTTTTCACAGAAAGCTCTTGAGCCCGAAAACCCAATTTTCCTAAACACTCATCAAGGATGTCATTTCCCCACATGAATGAGTTGCGGTGGTTCAAAGAAACAGATATGTGCAATGGGTTTAGATATCTGAAGGAAGCTAGAGCAATGGCTAAAGCCCCAGTGGCTAGAATGCCCTGGGCAGTATTGGGAGGGTTCTCCCAAGAAGTCTGGACTTAGTCAAGAGATTGAGTTCAAGGAGAGAATAACTTTCACCTCATTGCTATGTAAAATGAGGCCAGGGCAGAGTGACTGTAAATGAGCAAATGAGAGGTGTTGGTTTCCAAGGGATGGTGCAGGGAGAGCTGCCTGCACCTGGACCATGTGGGACTCTGAACCCTGTCTTCAAGGAAGGTGCTAAAATAGCATCTGGAAGTTCAGTGCAAGAAAAGCAGAGACATTTTATCTCCTGGGACAGTTAAAGACATTCATTTGTTACAGTGAGAGAATAAGCTGGTGACAGATCTAAATTCCAGCCCATAACGAATAAAAGGAAATGGGCCCAAGCCTGGGAGGGTGCAGCATTTCCTTCATGAGGAGGCTGCCTGTTTTGAAAATAAAATAACATTGCCAGGAGGGAGAAATGCAAAGCTCATTTTTAAGGAATAAACTTAAGCAATTCAGTAGGTTCTGTAATAAGAGGCAGGTACCTGAAGCTACTGGTTTTTATATGACCGTAGGGAGAGGGCTCATCTTCGCTATCCCAATCTTTTCTCATCTCCTAAACAGAAGGAGCGTCTGCAGAGTAGCTCACATATCATGTAAGTCTGGCAAGTCAGCACACTATTAGACATGCGATTCTCACACCTCAGTGCACCTCAAAATCACCTGGAACATTAACCAAATGCAGATCACTGGGCCTGTTCCACAGAATTTTAGATGCAATAGATCTGGTTAGGACCTAAGAATCTGCATTTCTAAGGTGCTCCTACAGGATCTGATGCTGTTAACCTATGGACTATGCTTTGAGAATCACTTCATGAGTTAAAAACCACTATGCCAGAAACCCCACATTCCTGCTAAGTTAAGTTGATGAGTAGACTCGGGAAAGCCCCAAGACCTCTCTTGGGACTCAATCTCCCAGCTTCAAAATGAAAGTGGAACTGTAACTTTCTGAGGTGGGTGGAACAGATAGCACATTTTTAAAATAGAGAGTGCAAACATGGGAATGCTTTGAAATACATATAATATTACTAAAATTATGTTTCCAATATGTTAAAATGTCAAGATACAAATAAAGTACATGATTTCACATAGTTGTGAGCTATTGCTATACTCCAAAGTGGCTGGACACAGAATTGGTTATCTGTGTTTTCTGAGTGAATGAAATGTGGAAGAAGAGAAGCTATTGAGCTTAGCAGTGAAGACATCAAGTCAGACACCTCTGTCTCACATCAGGCTCTGGCCCCTGACTCTGTCTTCTAGCCCGGTTACATTTTGGGAGGCAGCAGTGAGAGATCACGTGGATGGGTCCCTGCTACCCTTGTGGGAGCCTTGGATTGAGTTCTTGACTCTTGGTCTGTTCCCGTGATGGCTATGTGGGCATTTAGGGAGTGAAACAATGGACAGCAGTAGATGGACATTCTCCTGTCTCTGTCTCTCAGAATTAAAGGCATTAAAAAGCAGCATAGCGTTTTTAGATAAGAAGTCTTCTAGGTGGACAGATCACAGGACAAGTTCAGGCCCAGTGAAGCTGATCACGGAGGACTGTTCTTTCCAGCCAGGGCTTGGAAGCTTGGAGCAGACAGGAAAATGCAGGTGGGAACTTCCCAAGCAAGCTGCCAGCGCCATGAACCCAAGTGTGCCTGGAGTTCCAGCTCTCACTCACCCTGTTGTCCTCGGGAGTAGGAGGAAGAGGTTTCTTCGAGGCTGAAACAGGAAAAGCAAGAAAAGATGAGCAGGAAACCCAAAGGGCCCCAACAGAGATTGGGAGCTTTTCGGAGAAATGTGGTCCCAGAAAAAAAAGGGGATCTGGGCGAGCCAACAAGACCCACAGCAGCCACAGTCAGCCTTGCCAGAACCTGTCTTTGTTTTCTTTCAGCTGCTGATTCTCAAATCCCCTTTCTAGAAGACTTCTGGGACCCTGGAAGTCATTCTTCGGGGCCTCCTCCTTTGGTATTCCCAGGAAAAGTCTGATAGAGGTGGTTAGACCGGGAACTTCCTTGTTGGTACCAGATCTTTCAGGGCTGCATCTGCACCTGCTAAACCCAGCAGTGGGAAGTGGTAACCCAGGGGACAGTGACTCAGTGTCCTGAAGCTGCCGAGGGTTTGAGGAAGGGATGGTAATGTGGGTCATCTCTGGAGCCCCTTTCTGGTTGCAGAAAGGGATCTGTCCAGAGGTTCTTGTCCCCTACCTCCAAATTATCTCTCCCATTAGCTGCCCTCTTCTAATCTCTGTCTCTGCTTTTTTGGGTCTACATCTTCTTCCCTTGCTTGTCTTTTTCCCTTTTCCTATTTGGTCCTCTTTCCCCTTTTCTCTCTTCTTCTTTTCATCTTCTCATCTTCACAATAGTTATCCTTTGGGGCACTGCAAGGCTAGGCCTTAGTCAATGGACAGAAATGCATCTGTGTTTAGGGGCATGTATGTGGGGTAGGAGGCAGCTCAATATGAAGATTCTTGAATTATCAGGGTTCAGAAGGGAACGGAATGCAAAGGTAGGTGGTGAGATCCTTGTCTTGGTGAGAGGTTGAATTTAAATGGCCTGGGCCAGAGAAACATTAGAGGAGATCCACACCTTGATGGTGGAGCCCAGCCCTGTACTCCCCTTCAGCAAGGACAGGCTGGGCTATTGACCCGTGTATGTCATTAATAGAAAAGAACTTCAGTGTATGTGATGGCCAGTATGGTTCCGATCTGGAAGTCAATTTGGACATAGGAGAATGACATGTTCTCCTCACTCCACTTGCACCAACTCCACCCACAGGAGCCTTGTGTCCCTGAGTCCCTTCCAGCCTTGGACATCCTGTGACTGGGGTCTTTTCTTCCTCTGGCCTTCTCTTCCATTTCTCCTTTTCCTTCTCTGTGGTGCTGCTACATAATGAGATCGTGGCCACTTTTAGTTACAGAAATGGGTGTTGCTTTGGATTAGGCACAGTGGCACTCGTTTTTACACAACCCTTTCTGCTGCTTCCCAGACACATGCACACACACACACACACACACACACACACACACACACACACACACACCCTTAGGTTCCTTCTTCCACAAATCAGGAGGTCTAGTAGAAACATTCATTGTTAAGAATTCACTGAATTCCGGCAATTGCACTAAGAGTTTTCCACAATCCCCAGTGATTCTTCTAACAGTCCCACAAAGTAACTGCATGTCATCATTAGTCCAATTTTATGGATACAGGAACTGAGTTGGATTCAGAGAGCTAAATCAATATATGAAGTCACACAGCAAGGTATTGGGATTAGACTCTTCTCAGACTTTCTTTTTTAACTATACAGAGACCTGCCTTGTCAAAGTATCCGTTGCCAGGAATCTCACAATCCTTAACTCCAGGCAGATGACCATGTGCTGTGTTTACAAAATGCAGTGAGTTTCTTGTAAGCTTTGCTCTCAATTTTGTCCAAACTATGATGCATGTGGTTGCTGATCCAATTCAGGAAAAGGCAGAGCAGGAGATGACAGGAGGGGTGGGAGCAGTGTTTTGTAATGCTGATCACTAGCAGAGAGGCTGCACAGTGCATTCCCAGAGCTGAGAGTGGTTAGGCCCCAGGATCTTAAGGGGAGGAGTTTCACATGGGCATCCCTCCTCTGGCATGGTTCTGGTGAGTCATTCAGATGCTCCTGGACAATGCCCCAGTGACATGTCCATCACTCAGAAGAAGTGAAGACTGCTGAGGAACAGCTAAGACATATGTCGTGAAAAATAAGCATAGGAAACATAGATTCCCAGAGCTTCAGGCTGGAAAGGGGGCTTAGGAGTGATCTCATCTTAGGCCCCCTAAGTCATCCCACACCATTTGAGAGCCTGGGATGTTAAGGCCCTGGCTGGCCACAGCAAATGCTGGCAGGTAGGTAGATGTTTGGCTTTGGAAAGGGCCATCACCTTTAATGCAGTGGATTCAACACACACTAATCCTTCTTCGTCTTTTTTCATAAATACATGCCTTCAGAGTAGAGCCAGCAGGGACAAAGGGTGGACTCAATGCCTTCTAAAATGATGGTTCTTCCTCTGAGCCAACAGCCTGATAATGTTGAAGGCCTTTTTTTCCCCCAAGGTGCAAGGTGAGAAGTGGTGGCTTTTAAAGTGGTACAAGCAGGGGCTATGACTCAGGAAGCCACAAAAAAATCCCACCCATGTGCTACATCCGCTCTGGGTTGTCAATCCGAGGTATTCAGTTTTAGTGTAATAACAATATTGCCAGAGGTAGAACAGAAAGTATGGTAAGAAAGGTTGAGAAGAGAGGAAAATAAAAAGTGATTCACAGAGGTCACCATTCCTGTTCCAGGATGGAGCTTGCAGAGCACTTCCTGCTGTGGCCCTTGAGCGCACAGAATTGTTCAAGGCCACCCTCTTGTTTGCTTGTTACTGGCACACCACATAGTCCAGAAGAACAAATAACATCCATGAAAGTATATGAGTGGATGAGTGGAGTCTAGCCTTATTGGAGAATCAGGGTTCTAAGATCATCATTTAAAGTTGAGTTGTAGAGCTGCAGTCCAATCTCTAGTGTCAGAATCCAAAAATAACTTCCCATTTGATCCATGACCTCCTTTCCTATGAAGTTGCAGAGGTCAAGGTCAAGTTGAAAGTGAAGGCTGGGAGAAGCCAAGAGAGTATATTAGGTTTCTTTTCTTCCTCCCAAGTATAGAGCTTTATCTGTGCAATTAAGCACATGGATGAAGTGGTATCATTGTGATAAATACACTCATGTACCTCTTCAGGCTTTCTCCCTAAAACTTGAGTGAAGTACCTCATGCTATTCAAATTTCTAACACAATAGTACTTCCTACACTGTACTGTGCGTACACAGCTCCAGGGGATTTTGCTAAAATGAATATTCTGCTCCAGTAGATCTGTGGAGGAGCCAGAGTTTGCATGTCTAACCAGCTCCTGAGTAAGTGATGGTGATGCTATTGCCTACGGATCACACTTTTTGTAACCAGTAACTATCTGGCTTTTTTTTTTTTTCAGACACTGGGGAATTCCACACCTTCATTCAGCTCCTTCCACTCACTGGATTCTGCCCCTGAATAGTCACCCATCTACCCCACCAAATGTACTCAAGTGTTATTCCCTTTCACTCCACCCCCCACCCCTCGCCTCCAGGTATACTTTGAAAAAATAACCAAAAAACAGGAGACCAATTTTCCTGGGAGAATGGCTTAAGCATGTGGGGAGGACTGGACTGGGGACTCTGTCCAGAGGGATGAACTCCGGAAAACACTTGGCCCTGCAATGGCCCTGCCTCGAAGCCTCCCCAAGCCTGTGCCCTTCCAGGAAGTGCAGCCTGGATCCCCACTGCTGTCCAGTCTGGAGTTTTGTGAGGAAAGCCGCTGCTTTCAGCAGGGCCTAAGAGGCCTGGGCCTACAGGGTCTCACTGCTCCAACCCGAGAAGCCTCCAGAATCCAAAATTCCTAAGTGCCCAGAACCGCTTCGTGCTCAGGAACACCAGGAAGCGCCAGCTGTGGGAGATGAAAAAGTACCAACAGATTTGTAATCAAGACAAATGATTCCCCTCTGAAAATTCTGAAGATGTAGAACTTTGCACTCAAACTCTGATGGCTCTGATGATGGGGAGCTCCGTTACAGCCATCACTTAGAGAAGACAGGGAGTTTTTAGGCTCTTACCGTTCTTGGTTGGATCATACTGGGCACAGCCCACTGCAAGTTTCTCCAGCTGAGAACAGCATCTCCACCTCCCGTCCATCCAGAAGTTAGGGTGATATTTGGACACCAAATTGTTATTATTCCTCGTTTCTGAAAAGGGTGGGCACCAGCAGAAGTTATTTTCAGATTTGTCTATCAAGTGCCACCAATTTGGTAAGTTCCTGGGGTAGGACTTCACTGTATGAATGTTATTCTAAAATAGCCCGTAAAAGCCTTTACCTGGACATGTGAACTTACTGTTGTGTTGACTGGGGAAATGTAAGTCAGATTCGGGAATCAGCACATCTCTGTGCCCGTCTGACCCTACCTCAGTTTGCTGAGTATACTTGGGTTGAACAAATCCTTCCCTGAGTCTCAGTCTCCCCTGCTATGTAATGAGGTTGTTAGCTTGGATCAATGAGTTCCACAGGAAAACAGGGAAAGGAAGTGGGAGAAGTTCCTGCCTTTTCAGCTCTCCCACTTTGACCACAGTAACTTTGCTTTTATCCCTTCTGTACATGTGGCTCGGAAGATGGGTAGAGGTTTTGGCATGAAAAAGGGCTCTGCTACTTACAGTCTAAAAATTGCAGCACTAGACAGTTAATCTCTAGCATCAAAATATGTGTCAAATTCCTTCAGAGGGAGAAGGGGTCCTTTAGATCATTTTTGCCTTGTATTTGCTCCATGTCCAGTGACTAGACACTGTGCCCAGCATCCCATTGTCTAGGTATGTCCAACAGTTTCATTGGGAGTCCATCTTTGATTTGGAAGTAGGGATGCATACTGTATTGTATCTTCACATCTGGATATGATAGTCTCTATTATACCATCACTATACATTCCCTTATATGAGAAGCCACGAAACAAAGTCAATAATAGGTATGAAGTTAAAACAAAAAATTTACAGCACTATGGAGTTGAAAAACATTCCACTGAATAACCAATGCATGGGTAAAGAAAACACAAAAGCCTCTTGGATAAAATGATGCCACCGTGCAATCCTGAGTCAATGATAGATTTGACAAGATAAAAGAAACTATTCAGAAGAAATGAAAATGAAAACAAAAACATCAAAACACATGGGATGCAGCAAAAACAGGATGGAAAGGGTTCTGTTGGCCAAGAGCAAAAATCAAGCATATTGTAAAGGCATTGCAATATAGTCCTTTAAAATGGAGCATTCAGGGGCTAGCACCATGGCACAAACCATAGGCTAAACCTCAGCCTGGGCCACCAGTATCCTACATAGGCACTGGCTCGGATCCTAAGTGCTCCACTTCTCATTCAGCATCCAGCTCACTGCTTGTGACCTGAGAAAGCAGTGGATGATGATTCAAGTTCTTGGGACTCTGCACTCACAAGTGAGACCCGGAGGAAGCTCCTGTCTCCTACTTCTGGACCGGCCCAGCTCCAGTTGCTGCACCTATTTAGGGAGTGAACCACTGGATATAGGACCTCTCTTTCTGCCTCTCCTTCTCTCTATAATTCTATCTTTTAAACAAAAACAAATCTTAAAAAAAACCCCAACATTTAACAACATAAAAAACACTCTTGGCTTAGAACCTTAGAAGGAGAACAAGTGGCAAATCAGATCTGGTCAATCTCTGAACTATACCATTTGTGGCTCTGTGGGCCCAGGGTGAAAACTTGAGACTTACCACCAACACTAATAGGGAGAAATGTTTGGCCAAAAGCTGCTCTCACATGCTATTGTGGAATGCATGCCTGTAGAATCAAGGATCACAGTGATGTGAAGGTAAATGAGTTTAATTACCTTCTTTAAGGGCTAGCACCCAGCGCTGTCGGCTCTCACGGTCTGGAGCAAACACATACAGGAGGTAGTTGTCATGTACAACCTGGAAGCACACACAGAGTTCAAGGTAAGCAGGGTGCCCAAGGACAGATATGTAACTCCAAGCCTGTGTTTGTCCTATGTGCAATTTCCTGGGTGATCAGGAAACCTGTGTTTCTGTATCCGGGTGCTTGGGTGCCATGCAAGCACAGGGGGCACCCGTGCAGAGTAGGCTTTCATCTGACCTGCCATGATACCAGCACAAAACTACTACATCCAGGCCTCAGAAGAAAGTCCCCCCTTGACAGAATGGTTCATTTATCTTTCATTTTTTTGTAGTTTATGTATATATAACACATATATAATATATGCATACACACATATATCTATATACACTATATGTAATATAGTATATCTATATCCGGCAAAATGCAAGAGTACCTTAGTAGATTAGAAAACTGTGATTGGGATTTGAAGAAATGTCTAACTTTGAGACAATTTACAACTCACAAGAGCTCCAAATATAGTACAGAGTTCCTGTAGTTCTTTCACCCACCTCTCTCACTGATAACATCTTACTTAACCAGAGTACATTCTTCATGACCAGGAAGTCGGCTTTGGTATAGTTCTATTAACTCTTTGAACATCACCGACTTTTCTTTATGTGTTCATTTGTAAGTGAGAAGTTGAACAACATCGGAGGTACAAGTCATTCTCTACTTTCAGTCCTAAAAATTCCAACTCATACGGGTTACTTTTCTAATACAAGAAAGCTCTTTTTCATGTCTCATTAAAAGCAAAATACTTGTCTGCTGCTTGGCAACATGAAGGGGATCTTGCCATATGCAAGGAGACATCCATTTCTTGGGAGCCATAAATGTTGAGAGTGGGAGATGAGATAGATGTGAAAGATACCCTGCCCTTCCCCCCGCCAGGTGTGATCTGTAGAACTTCCTGTGGTGATGGGAACATTCAGTAACCTGGGCTGTCCAATACAGCAAGTACTAGACGTCTGACGCTACTGAACGTGTGAAATGTGACCCAATGTCTAAGCAGCTGAGTTTTTATTATCATTTAATTTTAATGAATTTACGTTTAAGCTTAAACACCCACATGTGACCTGTGGATACCATAATGGACAGTGCATTTGTCTGCATAGTTCATAAAATGTAAAATCATTATTTTTTTTTTAAATATTACTTGAAAAACAGAGGAAGAGAAAGACAGACAAAAATATCCTCTATCCACTCTTCCCCAAATGGCTGCAACAAGCAGGGACAGACCAGGCTGAAGGCAGGAAACAGGAATTTCATCTTAGTCTTCCACATGAGAGGAAGAGATTCAAATATCTGGTTCATCATCAGCTGCCTTCCCATGCATGTTGGATTAGAAATTGAGCAGCGAAATTTCCAATTAATAGGATACAAGTGTTGTAAGTGGCATCTAACACATTGCACCACAACTTTGGCCTCAAAATTAGAGGGTTTTTTTTGTCTTAGAACTATGATCAATTTATAGCTAATGGTGGCAATTTGTTGCCCCATATCATGAATAAACTAAACCTGGGCTTGGACCCTCAGAAACACTTCTTGCTTGGGAATGAGGAACCTCCTTGAGGTAGTCAAGAGATCCAAGAAAGGGAAATGAAGGATCACCTTTCAAGATGCAGCATTTTACCTTTATTGAATGAATGAACGAACAAATGGATGGATTTAAAGGCACTGATAAAACACAGACATTTCCTTATAACCTTGATCTAGATTCCAAGCCTGGGTCAGCGTGGTCACTTACCCACCTTCTATCACAATGACTGAGAATTTGAACCTCGGCCTAGAGACTGGAGAATTCTTCTCTGGCTTGATGAGCTTACCTGAAACGGGTATTTATAGTGGCATGGGATGCTAATGTCACTCTTCACAATCTCAACACATTTGATTCGGGAGAGTTCAATGGAGCCCTTCAACGTGCGCTTTTTCTGTGGGAAAACGAGCAGATCTCATTCCAGGAAAACAACTCAACGGTTTTATCCAGATTGCTCCCAGAAATCCAACACTAGATGAGACCCATTAACTTTGTAGCTAACTCTAGCCCTCCCATTCAAATATACCGGAGATGCTGCCTGGCCCTCAGTGGGAGAAAGAAACTCCGACTCCTGGGAGAATGCGTATTCTGCATTGTCTCCTTGGTAGGACAATGGCTGGCCACTGCCTTTAGGACAAACAGCACCATTTGCATTACCCATCACAGCTGCCATGGGTGGTGTAACATAGGGAAGTGACTCATACCCGTGTCAGTTTTATCTGTCCTGTGCCCACCCATGAGCTAATCAGCACAGTGTTTGAGCCAGAGCTTACCTAGAGGGCGATATATGTCACTAGTGGCACCTTTCTTGTCTGCCTCTGGTTTTTCCATGTCCCTTATTCTATTCACAATTCACGCTGCATACCTGAGGAACACTTTTGGCTCTTCTTTTTACATATGTTCTGTCTGCTTCCATCACCTATATCAAATCTTAGCCTATATCTCATTTCCTCAGAAGCTTACTAGATATATTTATATTCCTGATAACTAACTCAAATGACAGTGTTCGTGATTTACAATGGTGTTATATGTCAACCACTCATAACAGGGTCCCAGTGCTTGAATGATAGACCCCAGGAGAGGTGATGTCATTCTTAATGGGACATATTCTATTGGTGGACCATTAAGTTCCAGGGAGAGCTACTTAGGGAAATGCTTTTAGAAAACAGAAGCCTTCCACAGGTGCTTAAAATCAAGTTGCCCTTGGATTAGAATTCAATTGAATTAAATAAACAGCAGCAAAATCTGTTATGATAGCTTGCCTTTTATAAATGGAAAATGCTGGTGCAATGACAGCAGAGTTGGAAAAACTTGGACTTTTACTAGGTCTATCACCTTGGACGATTCATTTAACATTTGTGAACCTATTTCTGCATCTGCTACAGTTAGGATAATAACACAAGGTTAAGAGATGACTGGATTGTAAAATTGAATTTGTAAACAAATCACTGGGTTTACAATGGGTACCCACAATAAGGTTTACCTTCCCATTACAGAGGTTAATGAAGATCTCATTATTATGATAGAGTTGGTTAGAACAATGACTTCATCAGATTATCCAGAAATGAGCTTGGTGTTTGCTTTCTTTCCTTTCTTTTTCTTTCTTTCTTTCTTTCTTTCTTTTTTTTTTTTTTTTTTTTTTTGGTTGATCTGTGCTTTAGTAACTGGGGCACAGAACACATAGGACAAAAGTTTAAAGGTGATGAACACACCCTTCCAGATACTGGGAAGTGCTGTGGTGTTTCTTTAAACATTTTCTTGAGGCTGGCATTGAGATGTAGTGGCTTAAGCCACTGCCTGCAATATTAGCACATGGCTTGGGCACTAGTTTGAGTCCTGGCTGTTCCACTTTCAGTCCAGCTTTCTGCTAATGTACTTTGGAAGGCAGTAGAAAATAAACAAAGTTCTTAGGCCCCTAAATCCACGTGAAAGACCAGGATGGAGCTCCACAGTTCTGGCTTTGACCTGGCCCGGCCCCAGCCATTCATTGTGTTTCTTTGGGGAGGGAACCAACAGATGGAATGTGTCTTTTTCTGTCTCTCCCTCTTACTTTCAAATAAACAAATAAATCTTTTATGCATTTTTTTCTGTGTAAGAACCACTGTATTTTTTTTAAAGTTTATATAGATCTATGTTTGCCATTACAAAGCAACATGGAGTTATGAGGAAAGTTTATAGTGCTTTTTTATCCCACCCTTCTCTACAGCTCTGGGGTAGTCAAGGTTAACCATGTGGAATGTTATTTGTCTCTTTCCAACATAATTACAGGATTCAGATGAGGGGAAATTGGAAACTTCAAAAATGGAATTAAAGAGGTGTTTATTTTGGTGTCAAAGATTTTAAAATTCAGTCATAGATTTTCATAATGTGCATTTCTATGAAATTTTAAAGAAACCTTACTGTAAAGAGAAATATGTGTCTGTTTACAAACCATTCTAGAACTTGTTTTTGCAAAACCAGTGATGAGTTGTCATGTCTGTCTTCTCTTAAAACCCTCTGAATACATGTGCTCTTCGGACTCAAACTATCGTCTCAGAGTCGGCCACAGCTAGAAATACATGCCCAAGCTGCCCATAATCACAGTTCTTTGGAAGGGGTAACATTTTTCAAAGCATAAGAGTACAAAGAAGGTGCCTATTTGACAACCATCTGCAGTGACTGGTAAACAGGGAGACCGGGCTTCAATGTTACCTTGCTTTGACCTCTGTCCGGTATTTCCTCGGCAACAAAATAAAATGAAACAAAATATAGGCCAACATTTTGCGGTTGGAAGCTAGGTCCGGAAAAGCACAGAGAGGAGTGCATCTGATCCAACTGAGGATTAATGCAGTGGCTGGCCCATGGCAATGCTTGGTTAGGGTAAGATAAATGAAGCGGGGGTAGCAGGAGCAGAGCTGAAACAATCATAATCATATTTAAGATTGTTAACATTTAGCTGTTGAGGAAATACTTACGGTGGGTCTGCTATGAGCAAGGCCCTGTTCCCAGCTCACTGATAAAGTATGGTGGCGTCTGGCATGAAGCTCACAGTATACAAATGGTCTGCCACTTACAGTGGTTTGACAGGAGTTTTTCAACTTTACGGTGGTGTGAAATCATTCAGTAGCATTTGTATTTCACATCTTGAATCTTGATATCTCCTTTGGATTGCCTTATATGGCGCAATACCCTTTGTGATCCTGAACAGCAGCAGCGAGTGGAGCTCCCCAGTCCCAAGAGAGAATAACTGATGTTCTACAGGTTGCCAGACTGCTGAGTTCTGATGAGGGCAGATTAGGTATATTGCACGTGCTTTAGACTACCGATATTTTCATCTGATGATGAGCTGATAGGCATGGACCCCAGCATAAGTCAAGGCATGTAAGTAACTAGGGAGGCCAACAAGTCAAACAAGTGCTATGAAAGAATAGAACAGGTTGATACAACCAATTTATGGCCAGAGAAAGTCTGTTTCGAGAGAATGAATTAACAAGAGTTGAGAAAGTAAACAGGTACCCTTTGTGACCAGTGCTGGGCAAGTGACCACCCCAGGGAGAGCAAACAGCCAGAGCAAAATCCTGGCTGGGGGAGTGCTGGATGTGTATCACAGAGACCTTCACAGGGCATGGAGTGGAGGCAAACAATGGCCCGAGTTGTAAGAGGAACACTGTGTGAGCCGTACAGATCATTTGCAACTCTTCCAGCAGATACATTCAGAAGAGAAAAAAGAATAGCAAGTAATAATCTATTTTACTCAATTCAGTATGTCTAAAATTATTATTTGAAATTACAATCAATATAAGAATGAATTATACCCCCTTTTTGGTACTAAGTCTTTGAAAACACCTATTTTAAACCCATCTCATCACATTTCAAGTGCACAGTGGCCACAAAGTATCTAACGTGGATTTCTCCTTTCAACCGAGACCTTGCTGCTGATGTCCAACCCTGAATGTTAGGATACGCCTGTGCTTGACTGCCAGGTGAATCTAAGACTGGGCTTCCTGTCCCACCAACAGCCTCGTGCTCATTCCCAGACAAGCACTTGGCTCTTCCCATCATAATCCATGCCTCACAGTCAGACTCTCTAAAGGTCCAGAAGTGGATTCTTCTTGGAGTTCATGAGACCTGAAACGTGGTGAACAGCTGTGCCAGCTGGGAAGGAGCTGGTCAAAGAAATCATAGTTCAGGATTTGGGAAATGGCGATGGCCTGTAATCATCACAAACAACTGGGCTATTTCTGGAAAATGCCCAAGTAAAACCTTCCAAGGAAACCACACAAAAGCTTGTAGAAAAAGAGAGAGCAAGTGAAACCTGCCCTCATTCTTGTTTTTTCTGTCTGTGCCACCTGGGGCAAGGGGCACAGGACTATGCTTAACCGCGTCCGTCTTCTTGGCCGTCTTCAAAGTCATACAGTCCTTACATAATCACGTGTCTCCCCAGACATCTGCCGAGTGCCAAGCACAATCCCAAGTGCTGATGCCTGTACATGTTCACAAACGCAAGCTTGTGCAACAGACTTTTATATATCCTACTTTGCATGTTAATATTTTGTATGACATAATATTTGGATTTTGAGTTTCAGAGAGAGAGAGAGGCAAGGGAAAAAAAAGAAAATATTTTGAGCACTTCCTATATATCAGCACTCCATCTCTATCACTTTTACTCGTAATTCTACAAAGTATTACTTCCCCATTTTGTAGGTGATAAAGTTGAGACTCAGAGAGGCTAGCAGACAGGCTTGACTTTCTGACTCCAGACCGCAAGTGAACAAGCAGATGAAAGCTCTGTCTCTCTCCCTCTCTTTAGGTCTTTCAAAAAAAATATTAAAGCTAAAAACAACAACAACAACAACAAAAAACAAAACCAAACACCACAGGTATATCAATTAGAAGATGGATGGAAAGAAGTTCATCTCCATCTTTGCGGAAAACAGCAGAATTTCAGTTGGTTTTGGCAAGGCAAAATGGGAGAACTAGAGCTTTCAGATCAGAGACTCAGGTTCGAGTCCCAACTTACTCCTCACCACCTGTGCAACCCCTTAGTTGTCATGCTTTTTCTTAACAAAGGAAGTAAGCTTACTCCTTTACCTTTGAAAGGCAGAGAGAGACATACAGACACAGAGGGAGACACAGAGACTCCTCTGTCCAATGATTCACTCTCCAAATGCCGGAAACAGCTGTGGCTGCCTTAGCAAAACCCAGGAACCAGAAAGTCCATCCAGGTCTCCCACGTGGGTGACAGGGACTCAAGTATTGAGTTATCCCCAGATTGGAACAGAAGCTGAGACTCAAATCAAGCACATTATTTGAGATGTGTAGGTTACAAGCCACGTCCTCATCACTGTGTCAAATGCCCATTAACTTTGTTTTTTGAGAATAACAAAATAGGGGCTGGCACAATGGTGTGTCAGG